ATACGATGATCAGTAATACTAATTAACTAAAAATAACAATACAAAGGCGCATCGAAAACTTTCCATCGCCACACGTTGAAAATAGATTTGGTTTATCCAATCACTATCACAATATATCTTATATACATATGTCTGCAACTTTATGGTGGCCATTCATTATGAAACTGAGCAGTTAATATTAATCACATGGAAGGTTTTATAAAATTAAGAGTCGCTACGATTTTTCTATAAAACTATTAAACAAAATAAAACAAACAAGACTTAGAAGCCGCAAAAGCTTTTGTATTCTTAAATAGTCAATGAGTTGGGAACGTAGGAAATTGTTGAGCTCTTATCAATATAAAATAGTTTCATATAAATATTTTTATACATTAATCGGATAGAATAACCCATTTTAATTATTTTTTTGCACAAATAACGAAAAATGTCTTGTTTTGCTCCGTAAAAAATTGCTCGCATCACATTATAAACTACCAGTAGATTTTTAAATAGGTTGGTATGTAAAATGAAATCAGCAACCACTGTCGACGTGGCCGACGTTAACTACATTCCCGATCTTGCCGACCGAATGGTAAACAGTCGACGTCGCCCAAAACACGTCATTTCGGATCCTCTCGATCCACTAACGGTGCTTTTAGTTACCCCCAAGCACCGGTCATCGTTCTCGTCGAACCTGTCGCTTGCGACGAAGGGCTCGGCGAGTAAATTAACCCACAGACACAGCCTGCTGAGTTTCTCGCAGGATCTTCTTAGTGGGTCGCTTTTCCGGTGGTTGATCCTGCGAAGCACTGCTCTTGCTAGGGTTAGTGTTAGCAACGTCGTCAGGTTTGAGCCCCGTGAGCTCACCTACTTGTTAGGGTTACGCTGAAATGATCTCTCAAGACCATCATTTATTTTTCGATCAACTTAGGTAGGAAAAGGAAAAAAAGCCACTGTTGTATTTATAAACCCGTGTGCTAATTCAGGTTTATAAAGTAGATTTGCGCGATTAGAAAAAAATAGAAAACTTTCTCATTTATTAGTATAGATAGAAGAGATATAATAGCCTCTTCCAAATTGCGGAAGTTAAAACTATTGCAGTGCGGGTCACTATTGGATCTGTTCGTTGTTTGCATAAGCGTGCTGCTTGGATTAATTATGAAAGGGACACCGTACCCTGGTTTTTTTCTTTAATACAATTGAATAGTCATATTTGAATAGCATAACCCCTGGAGGTTACCAGAAATAGGTAGGCAAAAAAGTTACCAAAAAGGCATCATTCCGCCGTCTCCATTTCAGATGTAGATTTGTATTTGATTAAAACGATTACTAAATAAATACTTGCTCGTCCGTTACAACATATCAGGTACGCTCATTTAAAAAAAAATGTTTTTTTTTTGAAAATAGTTTGAAACCGTCTTTTAAAATCACTTTTAGAAATATTTTTGATGTTGAAAGAAAATTCGTAAATTTAGTAGAAAAAAAATCCGCCTATAACACCACAGTTTATAGTTGCAAGCTTCTGTCATATATTAGATTCGCATGGATGATAGTAAAATGAATATAAGACGAGAAAGTTTTTTTAATTTAAAATGTTAATAAATAAAGCCCCGTATAAAAAAGTCTTATTAAGTAATTCTCATATTATGAACACGATACTTATTTATTTTTCGATTATTTTCACACCGAACACTAAATGTAGATTGAGCTTCTTCAGTAGTACATATTAGTTATTGTGCAGCTTGACTATAATTTTTACAGATTACGTAAATTTCTGGAGGCACATATGGAAAAGTTTGGGAACCAGTGACCAACTGAATTTGTATTCAAAAGTATTTCGATCGATTATAAACATTGATATAGGTTTCGATACAATGAATGAAACGATTTTAGTTTTTTTTTTAAATTGGTATTATTCATTCCCCCGTTAGAGGAATTTTTTTTGCAAGAACGCACGTGCTTCGGGTTTCAAACAAGATACACAACAAACGATGTCCTTCTATATTCGTGTGTAGAGTTAAATATCTTTGTTTAATTTCTAATGCGATTTCATAAATATATGCACATCGGAGGTCGACACAGGTGAATAATGCATGTGTAAAGCACGTTCGCGTAATACAAGAAGCGAAGTTTAAATTGACAGTCTCTGTCGTGGCCCGGCACAGCATCAAGTGTGCTTGAATGACGATGACGCGCACGATGTGAGTTTTTTTTTAAATGACACTTTGATTGTGCCTCCGGCTCGCCTCTATTTGAACACAAGATTTTTGACAGAAGTCTAAATCTCGCTAACGACATTTTCAAGATAAGTTTACATGTATACAATTTCGGAATAGTAATATTTCGGACCTTCGCCTCGGTCTATCGAGTAATCTCACGCGCAGAGTAGATGATATTTCCTTTGTCGTTGTCCTTCCAAATTTGTTTTAAATGATAAGCTCTGGAATAGAGATGACTAGAGTTCATGAACAGCGGAGGGAGACGAAGTCGGAGGGTGAATGCCATCCTTTAAACCAGAAGCATTCTGGCAGGTCTTTTTTTTTCTACCTATACTGATAGCCTTGAGAGGGTATGTCAGCTTCACCCTAACGTGTGTAGGTGAGCTCACGGAGCTCAAACCGTAGTGTTGCTAACACTGACCCTAGCAAGAGCAGTGCTTCGCAGAATCTACCACCGGATCGGAAACGCGACCCACTGAGAAAATCCGGCGAGAAACTCAGTGCCACTGAGTTTCTCAGTGGGCTATCTGGTAGGGATTCATGCATGCAACATCATAAAATTTATGTTTTGCAGACTATGTTTTAGACTAAAATGTTATTGTTAAGTCATTTTGTTATTTTAAGGCATGACCAATAAAAATGTAATTAGATCTATTGAAACCGAAGAAGATCGATCGAAACTACGATTTAGAGTATAAGTCGAATGAGTAATAAAAATCATATTAAGGAAGCAACAACCATATTATTCACATTAGAGTATTTTGTTAATCACAAGCGATAACGCTACTATTGACGTTCAAGAGAAGGCTTAGTACCCTGACTGCCCAATAGTAGACTCCGATGTGAATCAAAACAAATTCACATAACATTTTGACATTCTTCCTGAAACAGAAATAATCCACGTCCGTTAGTTTATTGGTTTCGTGTTAATATTGTTATTATGTACTTTGTTACAAAGGAAACATGGTTATAATTGCTTATCCAATAATAATGACATTAGCTCGTAAAACCGGTTCATTACTGTGGGAATTATACATTAAAACATTTAAAAATTCGACACTTGTTTACAAAAAATACCAGTTTTATATAATATGTATATCAATATTAGGTAGTAAAAATCAGTTGATCGAAGTGCTTTACTGTCTTTCACCGGTCATCGTTCTTGTCGAACCCGTCGCTTGCGACGAAGGGCTCGACGAGTAAATTAACCCACAGACACAACCCACTGAGTTTCTCGCCGGATCTTCTCAGTGGGTCGCGTTTCCGATCCGGTGGTAGAGTCTGCGAAGCACGGTTCTTGCTAGGGTTCGTGTTAGCAACGTCGTCAGGTTTGAGCCCCGGGAGCTCACCTACTAATTAAGGTTACGCTGATATAGCCTCTCAAGGCTTAAGTAGGAAAAAAATACTGTCTTTCATTGTTTTCATTGTACATACGTTAAAAATGCGATATGAATGAATGAATGTTCGTCATGCGCGTAACATAATATGATTATTTCCGTGTAAGTTGGTAAACTTTAATCTTGGTTTTGATAACGCTTAAGAACCGTCACTAGAATGCAATCGTAACGCGAACTCCGAAGAGCGTCATCGAATAAAAGAACCGACCGCTTTTATGTCGTGAATATGTAAATTTTTAACACACAACGACGCACCAACGATTTCCGGTAACGTAATAAAAATGCGACACAAAAATTTATTCGACATCTAAAAAGAACCAGCGGAGAAACAATTTTGTTGTTCAATGAAAAAAACAATGTTTTTTTTTTTTTTTGAGTTTTATTTGAGTTTTTCAAAATAGTTTGATGAACGCTTCGGCGAATAAGTGGGTGGTAGTGTCTTACCACTTTTCGACTTTCTTTGCATCAGTGGTTGCGAGAAACTGTGGAGGTTGTAACGGGCTTCTTCTCGCGTAGACTCGTTCGATGTGTTAGTAATGATTTTCAGTTGAGTGTTGATATGATTGACATGTGCGATCTAGCCCTTGCATAATTTGAGCACTGTGTAATTTGTATACACACAAAAAAAATTTTTTTTTTGCCATTGTGTTATTTTTAGTATAACCACTAAATATGAAATCAAAACAAATGCAAAACATAAACACTAAAATTACAATGGGTAATCTTATTTCCGAGAGCGAACTATCCAGACACATTTCATTCCAGAATGATCTAATAATTTACTTTACCGACATAGAGTTTTAAAGGGTTCGCGATCTCAGAAGCCTGCCGTTTCGAAAACAATATCTTATATAAAGTACTGAGACTTAGAACACATGTTTCAACGGCATTTAATATATTAACACCAAATGGACTGTCTAAGGCACTTTATATATAAACGATGAAAAAAAGTACTTTTAAGAGTGCATTCGTATCTAGCGATGCATCGGTGTACGAATCTCGCAGGCGGGTACCAATTTTTCTAATGAAATACGTACTTAACAAATGTTCACGTTTGACGTCCACGGTGAAGGAATAACATCGTGTAATAAAAATCAAACCCGCATAATTATAATTTGCGTAATTACTGATGGTAGGACTTGTTGTGAGTCCGCACGGGTAGGTACCACCGCCCTGCCTATTTCTGCCGTGAAGCAGTAATGCGTTTCGGTTTGAAGGGTGGAGCAGCCGTTGTAACTATACTGAGACCTTAGAACTTATATCTCAAAGTGGGTGGCGCATTTACGTTGTAGATGTCTATGGGCTCCAGTAACCACTTAACCCCAGGTGGACTGTGAGCTCGTCCACGCATCTAAGCAATAAAAAAAAGAAGAGTAATATACAATGTCTTTATCTTTCGATGCAGGTATTGGTAAACTGTCAGGCGAAGGCAAACACTTGGCCGACCCGGAGGTCCTTCGTAGGCTCACCTCTTCAGTTTCTTGCGCACTAGACGAGGCGGCCGCCGCCCTAACGAGAATGCGGAGCGACCAGCCCGCGCCCCACCACAGGCATCATCACCAAGAAAAGAAGTGAGTTATCGTTTCAACAATAATACTAATACATACTAAACAGGGTACAATAATATGTTAATTTAGGATCCGTGTGCCCGTAGTATAATAATAATCACAAGGTGGAATACGCCTTTTGCAAATATCGCTTTTATTTCAATTTGAAACGGAATCACGACCTTTACGCATCTAATGTCGAGAAAGAATTTAATGGTATGTGAAAACAAAGATTTAATTACTTAAAAATATATACGTAATAGTTATTCCCTGTTAGAAACTATCGTCAGGTTAGTGACAATGATTTTGCGCAAAAGTCCGACGGCGTCGCCTAATTAGAATGCAGCGGACAATAGTTCGTGCAGCGATATAGTTTTGTTTTCACTGAACCATTCTGGAACGTCCTATTTTCAGCCTTTGAATTTGTTCCATAATAAGTTCTCAGACTACTTTTAAAATTTTGTTTACCGTTACGTCACGTTACCATTACCGCTATCATTGTTTTTGTGTATATTAATAACGCTCTTCAGAATCGATAATGTTTTCATGAGAATACAATCGGCTCGTTCGATTAAAACGAACTACGCCGTTGCCCTGCATCATTTAACATAAAGAGATGCTCTTTATCCGTAACATGAATATGAAATGGGTTTTCCACGTAATGCCTACGTAAGGTGAGGTGACCCGTTTTGAGTTCCATCAGAGAACTATCTCTGCGTTTTATGAATACATTGACTTACCACATGATGTAAATTCGAGAATTGAGCCCACATCCGAGCGCGCGACTTCTCGGACACGTCGAGCGGTCGAATCGGCTAACTGATTCCCCGACGCGTCCGATAGAGGTACGCCCCGGCAGTGATTATTGAAGCTTTGATCTTATCTGATCCTCGATAATTTTTTTGCTTTGTACTAGTTCTCGTGATTGGGTATAGACATGTTTGTTTCTCATAGTTTCAGTCAGCCGTGCGGGGTGACTGCGACGGGCTCGACGCCTGCGGTCCCCTCGTCTGTGGGCGCGGACGGAGCGCCGTCGCTTGTCGAGGCGTGCTCTGACGGCGACGTGGGCACCGTCCGCAAGCTACTCACCGAAGGGCGGTCTGTCCACGAGACGACCGAGGAAGGCGAGCCCTTACTCTCCCTCGCCTGCTCAGCGGGATATTACGAGCTCGCGCAGGTCCTTTTGGCGATGCACGCCAGCGTCGAGGACCGGGGTATCAAGGTAATGGTTAAATGAGGAGTAGGTACACTGACTAGACCAGGGGTTCACAAACTTATTGTGTCTACTACCCACTTTGAGAATAATTTATTATTTAGTCCCCCCTCCCTTTTGTTTTTTTAACCTCCTTAAAAACCACTATAGCGAGAACTCAGTCGAGGTCTAAGAGTCCTCCTAAATGAAATTACAAACCGCCTACCAAGCCTCTACACGACATCGTCATTGTTTTCTTAGTCTCTTACCGCCCCCCTTTAGGCTTGCAGCGCCCACAGGGGGGCGTTATCGCCCACTTTGGAAAAGGCTGGACTAGACTGATTAGATTCTCACAGAACTCACTATAAATGATCTATTTTATGTTATTTTTTTATTTATCTTATCCATGGGAAGTATTTTGCAAAACTGTGTTAGATTGTCGTAGCAATATAATTTTATACAAAAATAAAAAACAATTAGCGAAAAGCTCTTTATCATTGTTTATTGTACATATAGTTAATACAATACAATAATTGCCAAAAGTTATAAAATGGCAAGCTTAACTCAACAATTGAGTTATCTACCAGCCAGCCGTTCTTAAAGAGGGAGAACTTTACATAAGTGGGTAGAAGAGTACAACCTAATCAATTTACTTATTGATACAATACACAAAGTTCGACTTATTAGAAATTTATATTTGTATACCTTTCAAATAGGGAATCAAAAAGTTCTGTTAACTAAACCGTTAAGAGTATTATAATTCCGTACAGAAATTAATAAGTCAATAACGTATCAAATAAAAAGAAGGTAAACACAAATAACCAAAAGAATGCACTTTGTGTTTCTTGACGTCATTGTTCATTGACATCACAGCGGACGTTCAAGAGAGATATTAAGATGTTGTCACCAAGGACACCACTACATTATAATCGTTTTAAAGGTTTCAGCTGTTTTGAAATCACACGGTTTTACCAATATATATCGCACCTTTAAAATTATAGAGACCCATTTCGAATTTAATAAAAAAATGGAACGACCGTTATCAGCGACTCTTAATAATCAAATGACCAAAGTAGCTTATAAAGGGACAAACTTATACATCGGTCTCTTTCATTCCGTCCCCTTCCTCTACGACTTTTCAGATTGAAAACCTTATTCTTGATTTAAAAAAAAAAAACATTTCTCTTTCAGTCTCTTATAATTAATTCTAAAAGGTGCTATGTTTTTTTTTATTGCTTATATGGGTGGACGAGCTCATAGCCCACCTGATGTTAAGTGGTTACTGGAGTCCATAGACATCTAGAACGTTAATGCGCCACCCCCCTTGAGATATAAGTTCTCAGATCTCAAATACAGTTACAACGGCTGCCCCACCCTTCAAGCCGAAACGCATTACCGTTTCACCACAGAACTAGCCAGGGTGGTGGTACTTACCCGCGCGGACTCACTTGAGGTCCTATCACCAGTAATTACGCAAATTTTGCGGGTTTCATTTTATTACACAATGTGATTCCTTCATCATAGAAGTCAATCGTAAACATTTGTTAAGTACGTATTTCATTAGAAAAATTGGCACCCGCCTCCGGGATTCGCAACACTAGTACATCGATACGAATGCACCGGACGTCTTATCTTTTAGACTACGACGAATTCAAACTGCATACAAGTTTCACACACAAAAACTCGCACTAGTACCCTGAAGAAGAGACGCTATGACCTTACCATAACAAGAAGTTTGTGATATGGTTACAAAAAAACTATATCGACGCTTGAAAGGCAAACGTGACTAAGCGACAATAACTGCTTTGTACATAGATGATAGGCAATAACAATATTCGATGCGAAAAAAATATATTTCTAGGTCTGTTAAAATCATTTCGATCCTGCAGCTAGATTCTTTAAAATAGAATTTTGTTCATGTATTTCTCATGTATATTTTAAATTAATTTCAACTTTAAATTAATCTGCTGTAAAGTTCACGCATTGTCGCTAAGTCACGTTTACCTTTCAAGCGTCGAATGTCTCTTATCACGATGGAAGTCAATCGTGAACGTTTGTTGAGTATATTGAGGAGGCGTCAGTTTCGTGTTACACTAGAGGTGGTGTTGTGCTCAGGGCGACTGCACGCCGCTGATGGAGGCGGCGAGCGCCGGCCACGTGGACATCGTGCGGCTGCTGCTGGCGCACGGCGCGGACGTGAACGCGGTGTCCGGCTCCGGGAACACGCCGCTCATGTACGCGTGCGCGGGCGGACACGAGGACTGCGTGCGCGCGCTGCTCGACAACGGAGCCAACGTCGAGGACCACAACGAGAACGGGCACACGCCGCTCATGGAGGTACGTACACACTTCACTACGAGGCCGTCAGCGCAAAAGTGGCCTAAGCTTATCATAGTTAGTATGGAGGCAACTCGCCGGATATTCTCAGTGGGTCGCGTTTCTGAACCGGTAGTAGATTCTGCGCTGCTCTTACTAGGGTCAGTGTTAGCATCACTCCGGTTTGAGCCCCGTGAGGTTTGAATTGTCATGAATTTGAATTTGCGTAAGCAAAAAAACAATACGCGCAAAAATAATGTTTACAAAGCTATCTGTTATCTATGGGTGAACTAAACTATTAATAGGTCGGTTTTGCATCATCAATATTTATAATATTTTAAATAAATTCGAATATACGTCATATAAGCTTGTATATAAAAAAATTGTGGGTTAGGCCAATTTTGCGCTGATGGCCTAATTTCATATACAGAGTGGTTAGAGCCTTTTCACACTGGAGCGGTATGCGAACGGCTGCGGGGCGGAGCGGACGCGTGGCGGATACGCAACGTTTTCGTCACGTTTTTGTAGCGAGTTAACGACGTACAATACACTCTGTAACAAAATCGATTCCAACGAAGAAACACTGCTGTTGGCTTTGTCACTGCGAAGACGCCGGAGACGAAAACGAAAGCATTGACGAATTTAAGAGGGTCCATTATCTATGTTTTTTTGCAAATGAATAAAAAAGAATCTTAAACAGTTTTGCTCCTACCCGCGAATTTCAATACCTACATTTTATGAGTCGTTGCATCTGATAGAAACTAACCTAAGACATGACTGACACACGGAGGACGGGTTGGCGTTTGTACGAGACAGTACAAAATGGCGCTTACGCTGCTATTCACGGCGATCTCGTTCCGCTGCGCATGCGCGGCGTGTTCGTTGCGCGCCCCCTCCGCTTTAAGAACGCTCGCAATCCGCTAGTATGATAAAGCCCTTAGACATCGTTCACACCAACCGAATGTCCGTCGCCGACTGTGAGTATTCCCACTATCAGATCCAGTGTAAACTTACAGTCGGCGGCGGACAATCGGTTGGTGTGAACGATGCCTTAACGTCTATTTCGTTTATGTGACATTTCGCTCAATACGCGACGTTTGTCTTTGTAATTAAATGGGCGTCTTATTTGGTATTAGCATCATCAGTACGATGTTTTTAATTGAACTTCAATTATATTTACTCCGTTCAAACAGTTGGAAGAGGTTTTTTTTTTGTTATGATCTTTTTTCCAATTTTTTTACTTTAAATGGCTCTCCTGTGTGTTTAGTCCGAGTTTTTTGATGTTCTCAATAGCGTAAAAGTTAACTCAAATTTGTATGCAGTTGGTGACAGCGTCCTAGCGGCAAACTTAGGCAAGCGTTCCAACTCCATACAAAATTGAGTGGACTTTTGCGCTATCGAAAACGTTAAAAAACTCGCCCTAAACACACTGTAAGTTGCAAAAATGTCGCTTAACGATCATTTAACCCGCGGTATTCAATCTAAATCCACAAATAATTCAGAAGTAGGCAGCGACTTAATAATAAACCACAATAAAAGTTAGAAAACTGGTCTTAACACCGGTTGTTGAAATTAGTTGACATTGTTTTAAGGCTTAGCTGAGTTATTTTCATATGAGGGTTGATAGCAGAGTTTTAGCACTAGGCAACGCTGAAACATATGACCCGCTTCTTGCTGGCTCTCTACTGAAGCATACACACAGACAGGTTACGTGGTGTAGCTGTCGCTCACATAGACACTTGAAGTCGAGTTGAATTGGAATAACCTCTGCCTCAGCTAAATAAGATTTGTTGAAACTTCACCGTCATGTAATATCTTGGCCTAATATGGAGACGAGATGATAACCAAACTAACTATTACAAAAAGACATTATACATAGTAATAAGTAATACAGTACTTAGTAAATAGTAATACATACATAGTAACATTGTAGAATCTAGTTTAGCTACGTAATTATTGAACCTTGCTTTGTTGCAAAAATCAAACTAGATTATTGTATTACACACACCTATTAGATTATTTTTTGGTTAGTTAATACATAAAATTTGTAAAGTATTTTAAGAAGGAAGCTATTAATTGCCATGTCACGCAAAGTTTATGATGCTCTGGTATTTATTGTATGCTTTCATGATAGGACCAAAACATAGAAAATTTTCTTGAAGTCAAAATTGTGTGGTATGTTAAAAATATTTACTAAGTAACAATTCGCCCCGCTGAGTATTGAAACTATAGTGTCGTGAATAGTATCACATTACTTAATGTTCAGATTATTGGCTTTAGGCGTTTTCTTCCTTTATTTATTTAGCAGATGAAAACAGAATTAGTACAATCTTAACAATCGTTACGTACCTTTTTTTTTTCAATGAAATAACGTATACGAATACGTTTTTGTATAAATTCACTGAAATTAAATTAAATTAATTCGTATAGACAAGACATTACGCGAACGGAAAACTTTGCCAACATTGCTCTAGAACAGGGATTCCCTAACTTATTCTGTCTACTGCCCACTTTGGGATAAATTATTTTGTAACGTCCCCATTTTGTCACCTACTTAAAAACCGCTATAGCGAGAGCCCAGTCGGTGTCTAAGAGTCTCTACCCAACGCTTCCATTTTTTTCTGGGTCTCTTACCGCCCCCTTTAGGCCTGCAGCGCCCACAAGGGGGCGTTATCGCCTACTTTGGGAAAGGCTGCCCTAGAATCTAGTGTATAGTAATTATGACTACTCACTCAGCTAGACTCTAAATTCATTATAAATGAAATTGCCAAGCATTTTTACAATAACACACATAAAACACAACGCAAATAAAAAATTATAACTTTACTAACAGACAAATTCAGCATGCAAAAGTGAACCAATATGAATTGAATAAAAAAACGGTAATTACGTACGTATTACAGCTCGTGGTTCAACAAACTTTCATTAATTTACTGTCGAATCTTGGAAGCGAATAGGCAAATATGTCAGGGCTTTCAGTTTCACTGACCGCATAACGTTTTTGTACAAAAATACATTAGGGTTACCATCAAACTTGTATAAAGAGTATTATTTGTTTGCTAGGCCGCGTCGGCGGGCCATGTCGGCGTTGCAAAGATCCTGTTGGAGCACGGAGCAGGGATCAACACTCATTCTAACGAGTTCAAGGAATCCGCGTTAACGCTCGCCTGCTATAAGGTACTCTATCTATATTGACATAAAATACATTTTAGATATGTCTGCATTGCATTCATTCACTCACATAATTGCAATGATGTAAACAGCATAACCATTGAAATATTTATCATGTATTAATTTCCATACCTGCATTTTATTATCAGTAGGTAATTGAAATACAGCTGTGAAATAATTAGTCAACCACCATAACTAATATTACAGTAGTTATTTATGAATTTATCTTGAATGTTAACCGTGAAATCCATTGAGTAAATTTTTAATTGTAGAGATGATTTGTTTATGAAATATTAATTAGTATTAAACAGTCACTTACTCATAGAAATGCCATGGTAGTTTATATTTCAATGTCAAAAAAGCAGCAATCGGCAACAGGTTGGCTACGCTTCTTGCATTTTAGACCAATGGTGCTTATATTGCCACAAGTGTTGGCTTCATTGGTCACAAAATAACATATAATATTTGTTTATTTTTATAATACTACTAGCTGACCCGGCAGACTTCGTAGTGCCTCAATCCATAAATAAAAGATCTTTTGTATAATATAAAATAAACTTAAACCAAACAAAAGGAATCTGTCCGACGGGGGACATCACATCAAAATTGTTATTTTTTTTAATTCCGAGCTTTTTCATATTTATCTAAACCTTTTAAACCTTCTCTGGACTTACACAAATAATTCAAGACCAAAATTAGCCAAATCGGTCCAGCCGTTCTCGAGTTTTAGCTAGACTAACGAACAGCAGTTCGTTTTTATTTATATATATATATATAGAAGATAGATAGTAGAAGAAGGATTTACTTTTAATAATTGGTACTTGTATTTCCGCACACGAAGCATTTATCTTAGTGGAGTAGGATAACTGAGATCGGGATGCTCTTTGTTCAGGGTCACCTGGACATGGTGCGGTTCCTGCTGGCGGCGGGCGCGGACCGCGAGCACAAGACGGACGAGATGCACACCGCGCTCATGGAGGCCAGCATGGACGGACACGTCGAGGTCGCCAGGCTGCTGCTCGACTCCGGGGCGCAGGTAACTGGAACTCACTGAGTTTCTGTGATGTATATCAAATATATAAAATAAAAATCTAAGGAATTGTTTGATCCCCTCATCTCCTTTTTATCATCGGAACAGAGTTCATCCATATTATCTGGAACCGCTGCGTTCATCGACAGTGCGTTTCAGGAGGTCTTTTTTGCCACATACCATCCGGCTATGGAATGAGCTCCCCTCCACGGTGTTTCCCGAGCGCTGTGACATGTCCTTCTTCAAACGAGGCTTGTGGAGAGTATTAAGCGGTAGGCAGCGGCTTGGCTCTGCCCCTGGCATTGCTGAAGTCCATGGGCGACAGTAACCATTCCCCATCAGGTGGGCCGTATGCTCGTCTGCCTACAAGGGCAATAAAAAAAATGTTTGATAAACCAGGTGAACATGCCAACGGATAGTTTCGAGTCGCCATTAACACTAGCGGCGTGTGGAGGCCACGTGGACCTGGCGATGTTGCTGCTGGAACGCGGCGCCAACATCGAGGAGGTCAATGACGAGGGCTACACGCCGCTCATGGAGGCCGCTAGGGAAGGTACACTGCGCAACCGCTCTTTTTTATTTTTCTTACTTATTCGGTGTAACTCGCTCTGTATGAGCTAAAGTCTGTACTGCCGGACTGAGACAGACTTGGGTTTCGTCATATTTATTTACATCATGCTGACATAAAATCAGTACATACCGAGCTCTGGTCAGATAGATACAATAGCGTGACATTAAATGAAATTACGAATGAATTTCACGCGCCACGCAATCAGAATAGTTGGAATTTTAATTGCCTTGTCCTATTCTTCAAACCGGTAAGCATGAGTTGGTTATTAGTATAAATAAGCATGGAGCCATCTTCGTCAACATTACCCGCACATGGTAATAATAAAATGAGTGTCATAAAACTTGTGTTATAAATTCACTAACCATTTAGAACTAAACATGCTGAATCTCGCCTAGGTCACGAGGAGATGGTTGCGCTGCTGCTGGGTCAAGGTGCACAGATAAATGCACAGACCGAGGAAACGCAGGAGACTGCGCTGACCCTCGCCTGCTGCGGAGGGTTTCTCGAGGTGGCGGAATCGCTCATCAAGGCGGGCGCTGACGCTGAGCTCGGCGCTTCCACTCCGCTCATGGAGGCTTCGCAGGAAGGGCATCTAGAACTAGTACGGTACGTGTCTCTACCGGCACGTCACTTCTTGATACGGTCATCGGCAGGTACTCCCCGCCTGAAGATTAGTCAATAAGATTAAACGTAAGACGTAATTGAATATGCAATTTCGAAAAGGGCACATGTCGCATATTTTGTCAAATACGTTTTTTCATATACATATATAGTTTTGAGGCTTACCTACACCCATTTTATAATAATTCCAGTAATTTTCAATTGCTAATTAACACTAAAATATATCTCAAAAGTTAATATTTTAAATTTTACACTGCTAAAGAAAATAATCCGTTTTTGTCATTTCCTGAACATTTTACATTTTCAGAGATGTGTCCTTTTCGAAATTGCATATTCAATTATATTGTTTATTTGTCGAGTTCAGGTATCTGATCAACGCGGGCGCGGACGTGCACGCGACGACGCAGACGGGCGACACGGCGCTGACGTACGCCTGCGAGAACGGGCACACGGACGTGGCGGAGCTGCTGCTGCGCGCCGGCGCCGCGCTGGAGCACGAGAGCGAGGGCGGCCGCACGCCCCTCATGAAGGCGTGTCGCGCCGGACACCTCTGCACCGTGCAGTTCCTAGTCGCGAAGGTTCGACAACGCACTCTTATAAACTCACCTATTCAATCAAATTGCAGACATTATGCTGTGTAACTTGGAAAACGATAAAATATATCTTACAATCAAATTTTTAAATACTAGAATTAATTTGAAGAATTATCCTGATGCAATTTAAACACGTTGATAATGCGCTCGTTCTCTTTTTGTTCAAAATGAGTTACTGTTAAAATAGCATAGAAAATGTCCCCAAGAGATATTATATCGCACCTTTACAATTATAGAGATTCAACCCAAAAAATTTGCCAAAAAAACCCGAAAAGACGTAAGAGTAAAAGGGATGGAGGGAAAGAGACCGATGGATAAGTTTATCCCTTTATAAGCTACTTTTGGTCATTAGATTAGCAGTCGCTGAAAAGGGTCGTTCTAGTCCATTTTTATTAAAGTCTCAATCCAAAAATTTCGAAATAGGTCTCTATAATTCTAAAGGTGCGATATACCGATAAGATTTAAATAATATTAAAATATTCTAGATACGTGTATTAGTAGTATATATAATAGTTTCTTAATAACCATACAAGAGTACTCGCACTTTAATTATATTTCACGCCTGTATTTATGTAATTACATTTCTCGCGTTGGACAGGGAGCGGACGTTAACCGCATGACGGCTAGCGGCGACCACACGCCGTTGTCTCTGGCGTGCGCGGGCGGACACGTGGACGTGGTGAAGTTCTTGTTGGCCTGCGACGCCGATCCCTTCCGAAAACTCAAGGACAACTCCACCATGCTCATCGAGGCAGCCAAGGGCGGACACACGGCCGTCGTGCAACTGCTCCTCGACTTCCCACATTCTGTAATGCTTCCTAGAGGTAAGAACTGATCATACCAAATTAATGGTTACATGAAAAAAATCATTTAATTATTATTTTCTCTTCCATGTTGTGTTCTCTGGAATCGTAAGAGAAGCACAATTTTAGAACCCACACGCCGCATAAAATACTAGCATTGTTACTGGATCCTATATAAGAGATACAAGATGCTAGTTGAATTGCGCATATTTACCTTTTTTTATTTATTGCTTAGACGGATGGACGAGCTCATAGCCCACCTGGTGTTAAGTGGTTACTGGAGCCCATAGACATCTACAACGAAAATGCCGCCACCCACCTTGAGATTTGAGTTCTAAGGTCTCAGTATAGTTACAACGGCTGCCCCACCCTTCAAACCGAAATGCATTACTGCTTCACGGCAGAAATGGGCGGACCACCAGTAAAACCTATTCTAGTACATAGGATTAAATCTTTACGTGTCTATTTTAAGGCACGACAACCACAACGACGGCGGAGGACGGCGCGGGGCTGAGCGCGGCGCAGGCGGCGGCGCTGGGGCTCACGCACGCGCCCGCCCCCGGCGCGCCCGCCGCCCGCGCGCTCCTGCCCGCGCACGCGCCCGCTCCCGACCTGCCACACAACTTTGCCAAGGCCTATCTCGACGGTATGCACTATTTAAAAAATTAAATGTCATTTACGAACTAGGCATTGCACTCGGGTTGGATTTTAGGTAATTTAATACCCCCGCTGCTTAAGATCGACTTGTTTTATATAATTGACTTTCTTGACCTATTTTAAAATGGGTTAATACTAAAAAACTCTCGTAAATTTTCAGCTCACAAGAGTACAAAGAGAATATGACTTAAATCCCGAAACACTACCCAAAAAGATAATTCATAATTAATTCAAACTTAAAATACTTCATTTTCATTGATCCTTTTCTCTCAATCGACACAAAGAAGTCGAAATAAATAAACGATCGACGCCAACAGAGCGCAGTTCGGGCGGCGGTCGCAAGAAACCGAGCCCGTACCCAACGGCGGCGGCGGTGGCGAGCGCAATCTGCGGCGCGACGGGCGTGCCCCCCACCTTGAGCACGCCCACCGCTGCGCCCGGCCCCGCGCCCGCCGCCGCGACCCCCCACCAGCCCCCCAAGCACAAGTGTGCGCGGAAACAACGGGCGGCGCCGCAGCACCCCGACCACCACCTGCCGCCGCCGCCGGACATACACGACGAACACGTGAGTCTTGCGTTTCTACCGTTACCGAACCCTAACCTAACTCGAATACTATTCGCGTCGAGTGAGCCGCTCTAAGCAGAATGTCTAATCTAGCATTATTCAGTTTAAAATTAAAAAAAAAAACAATGTCACACAATTAATAGATTAAGAGTAAACGTAATAGGGTAACTATCAGAAAACTATTTACTTTGCTTAAAACAATACTACAGACAAAAATAATTAGATCTAAAGTAAAATTGGCACATTCGATTTTTTTTGAAAAGTTCGACATCTAAATATGAAAAAAAAAATTTGGAACTAAAAAATATTCTAGATGCTTCTTTGTGTTGGTTATGGGTTAACAAAGTCTTGCGCTTTAACAAAGAATATTATTTATTAATCATACGATAATGTTGTTATTGTTAGATTGCAGTTACCTAATAAGAATAGGAAAAGTAATATTTTATGGTCATATATTTTAATAGTATTCAGGATCAATTGGTGATCTAGAATGTCTAGATGGCCATATACAAATTTCTTAAAATAAAAAATACGTACCAGAAATATTACTTGATCTATCTGTTATTACAGCAATGATTGTGGGATGAGAATAATATATCCAATTGTGACGTCATTCTCTGTATATTTCTAACGAGGTACCATTCCATCGGGGGACTGTATCAACACCACTAAATCACAAGATCACACACAGTAAACTTGTACTCGTATCTTTAAAAGCTTCCGATGTCCAGGTTGAAAGCATTCGCGGGTACCATAACAGCAATAACAAACAATAATAAACTCCAAAGTTCATTTGCTTGCCCATTACATCGTAATACGGAAACGTAATATAGCTTCCACAATGTCATTTATCATAATGTGCTTGCTTCCCACGGTGTAGATATGCCAGCACGCGATGGCTAAGCTATCACTGCCCCCCGGCTTTACCTGGAAGGATGCTAACAAGAAAAATAAAATTAAATACAACAATAAAAATAAAAACAATGTGAGTGTCATTCTATAAATAATGAACACACCTGCTTTTGTCTGTAGTTGTTGTTTAACGGTGGCGGGTGTACTACACCCACGTGCATCTATCTCAATGTTCCAACGATATAGCTTTGGAGAATGTGCGATATTTGACTTGTATCATTTCACTGTACTTCTGTTTTTCATCAAAGTTTTGCCTATTTGAGTTTAATTCATTGTTCTTTGAAATATAGCTCGCTAGTGATATATCGTTCGACTATAATCTCACTGGTGTACATTCGGAAATCTCATAATCAAACTAAAAACTATCTACTAATTAAAAATATTAAAAAATGCACACAACCCACTGCCATATACAAATAATCAAATGCATCTAGAAGTTTCCATACATTCGCCACCAACACACACCTATTGAATTAAAAGTAAAAGAGTAAAGATTGTTTTTTCTGTGAATACTGTGGCTTTTAGTAGAAATTTCGAAAAATATGTGAATGTAAATTATATATCTCCTTATATTTGAATGTATGATTTTTGTATCTTAAATATCTGTTTAGCAGCAAAGAGTGATTCTATCATTTAATAGATTTATTTTATTTTATTTTGTGACTTTTTTGTTTATTGTTGTAATAATTTGAAAATTAACCTATTTATGAAGCTATGTCGTTATGCATGTTATGTGTCTTAGTGAAAACAAGAGACAGTTTCATACTTGTGTAGACGTTATGGGGTAACAATGAAATAAATATGTCTTAACTAAAAAAAAAACCCTACACAAACACTTGTCTTATTGAGTTCACGAGAGTAATGTGGTATAGTTCTAATTCAGTAAGTTATAAGATTTCAAAGATTAGTTCCTACTAATGATATTTATATTGTGTGATGTGGTTACAGAGGGCTGAGGCGCTGGTCGCGCAGCAGAGGAATGAATCGATGCCGGACACCGAGAGGGGGCTCTCGCTCGAAATTAACGATCCTTCAGGTTAGTTTTGGCTTGCAAATTAAAAAACACAACCGACAATATGATATTTAATTTAATTTTAATTTTTTTATATTTTTTTTTTTACTAACAATCACGCCACGTTAACTGGTCCCGTGCTAAGTTCGTAAAGAACTTGTGTTACAGTTACCAGATAACGGAAATAAATTTAAGATTTTTATTATACACATACATATATTTCATATACATCCATAACCCTGGAAAAGACATTTTATATTTATCATACAAATATCTTACCTTGGCGGGATTCGAACCCGCGTCCCCCTTGTGTAGTGACCATGTCACTTACCACTACACCAGACGGCCGTTAAGTATTCAGAAAAAATGTGACCATAATTTCTCAACACATTAAAGAACTAAAAAATTTTACATTTAATTATGCCCTGTTAACGGTATATTTCTAAATAAACCGTCATTATGAGCACCGCTTGCGAGTCCGTCCAAACCAATAGAGCGTGAGCTGCGGTATAAAGTTGTCCGTTGTTGTGCGAAGGTCCCCCGACGTTGGCCACCTCGGCGCTGCACGCGCTCGACCTGCAGTTCTGCGCGCAAGGCAAGTGCGAGCGCCGCATTCTGTTCGTCCCGGCTTCACTATTAACCCGTCCTGTGCTTGCCTTAATGAGCTTTTACTAAACTCCTCATAAATGTGTTAAAAGGTTTACCTCTGTTGTGATGACAGACGACCTGGTGTGGGCGGCGCGCTATCCATACTGCGGTCTATTCACTTGGGACATATTTGTTTGTGTCTCTATGGGAAAAATATCGCCGATCTACTGTCAAATTGCCGACGATTGTTGCGTTTTATATTCACACATTCGCTCGCAAAACTAGTAACTGTTTAATGCATTTCGTGCCTGCTATAATAATATAACATTCAAAGCGTAAATTGAAATCTTTGCTTCTGCCCATTAACAATTCTAGTACAAAATTAGGTTTTTTTTTGTTGTTGTTCTAAATCATAATATTATTATACCCGCGAGTCTTGCAGGTTGTTTTCAGCAAAAAATTAATTGCTGTTTTGAAATTACATGGATATTACATTTATTTTCTTTTTGGCAATAAATAAATTATTAATTTGTTAGAGTTATGTACCCACAGAAATTTTAAAATATTGAATTGAACTGAGTTTCTATAATTTACAAATATGTATCAAATATATTTTCTTTCAATTCATATACATTAGGAATCTTGAATGTATCTATTTAAAGTGGTTTCCCTAAATTTGTACATAACATACATAATATACATTAACATTTTTTTAAATTCGATTCTTTAACTTATATCAAACAGATAGAGCAAAAACTAACACCTCCATAACATAAGCTTTGTACCAAAAACAGCTTTAATCCTCAAACTGTATAATAACGATGGATGCAATAGGGATTTGGATATGGGATAATGGTTTTAATTTCCAAGTTACTAGAGCTTATTATAAAACGACTTGTAATTTTAGGTGTCACAACGAGTCATTCGCCGGCCACTCCGCCGTACCCTCCTCCGCAACAATTGTTCCCAGTGCAACCAATACCGACCAACCTTAATCAGGTATTTTGAAAATATTATAAACAAATATATAACTAAGGGTATGGGTAAGAGTAACGCGTCTTTTTAACTATTTCACTGGTGGTAGAACCTCTTGTGAGTCCGCGCGGGTAGGTACCACCACCCTGTCTATTTCTGCCGTGAAGCAGTAATGCGTTTCCCCTTGAAGGAGGGGGCAGCCGTTATAGCTATACTGAGAGCTTAGAACTCTTATCTTAAAGTGGGTGGCGGCATTTACGTTGTAGATGTCTATGGGCTTTGGTAACCACCTAACAGCAGGTGGGTCGTAAGCTCGTCCACCCATCTAAGCCATAAAAAATAATCATTATATATAATAGTGTCTTGAATCAAGATTCAGTTTCTGTTTCTGTCACATTCAGTTTCTTGTATCTGCATTTAATCTGTTTAATGTGTTTGTTAAATTTAACAGTCATGTCACAATACCATTATTAAATTAAATTAAATAGTATAATGGTTTAAGTTTATGAGAAAAAAAATGTATCCTTAGAATACAAAATCAAATAAACAAACTTCTCTCTCACTCTGCTTCCGTTAGTGAGATAATTTAAACCGGAACCAATTTATTATTTCACTATTAAACATATTTTAGAATTCAATACAACGATGCATTGTATCAAAATCGTCTGGCAAATGTTGTTCGTTGTTAGCTTGCAAGTTACTGCTAATGGACGCTTTGAAACGTGGATTCTATATTGACGATTACGCTATTATAGCGGTAAGATATATTACATGTAGACTTCGATGATATTTTAGAACTTTCTGTACAGTACTTAGGGGTTTGTTTCTGCAGTCAGACCCAACAGTGACCGCCCGCGTCCCTTTAATGAGCATAAATAAAATATTTAGTAAAAAGAAGCTCAAAATTACAAACCATATTTCGTCCATGGTTTTTCCCTAAACGAAAAATAAAATATAACACGTTGGTAGTTAATATTGCTTGGGAGAATAATTAAGTTTAGTAAATGATGTTTCCGCTGTAATTGACTAAACAAGCGCAGATACCTGTAAATTTTATATCTTCATTATTGTAGTACTTAGTAGTAAATTAATAATAAGTAGAACTAAATCTTCACGTTGGATCGATAGTGTAGATACGGTAATAGTAATTATTTTATAAGAAGGAAAATTAAAGTTTCGTGTAAAGTAACACATTACTAACAAACTACTTTCCTTTTATAGTAAATTAAAAATATAAAAGCTATTTTCTCAAAAAGTTAGTCTGAAAGTTCACCAAAATAATTTGTGATAAGTAAAACTACTTAACGAGTTAAGGTTTTCTAGTCTTTGATATAATCGAAATAATACTTTTGAGAAAAAGTAGAAGACAAAAAACTGAATGCCTCATACAATTTCCAGCAGCAACTTCAAGAGTTGCAGCAACAACAGTACCAACAGCAGCTAGCGGCGCAGGAGCAAGCGCTGCAACAACAACAACAACAACAACAACAAAAGAAGCTACAACAACAACAGCTCCAACAACAACAACAGCAGCAGCAGCAATATGCACAGGAACTGCAGCAGAGGCCTGAGAGCTACGGACCACAGGTAATGAAGATGATTTTATGTTAACTCCGAATAATTCATTGTTGTATATCTCATGTCTGTGATACATAATAATTTCGGAAGTATAATTACCCATAGGTAGCTTTCGCTCCTGCACACTGACAATGCCAGAGTCACCGTATAGATATTATCTGGTGCTTAGGATCTCTTCAAAGCTAATTTAAAGAAGCATTGTGTTAATGTAAAAGGGTATTAGACGTTGTAATAAACATGGTCGGTTGTAATCCCACAATGAAATTATAACTTTATTGGTTTTTAATTTTCAAAAACTTTAAAATACTACCAGTATTTCTTGATTAAATCAAAGATTATAAGTTTGGCCATTTCTAAAATGCTCTGGTTTGGTTTAACATATGTTGTCGTTGTTGTTGTATGAGGCGATATAGTGGACAGGGTACTGTGACAACAGAAGAATTAAGAGAGATGTAGTAACGTATGCTGTGATGAACGGCTGCACTAACGTTTCAGTACGGTGCCATCTGACACGATACTTTAAGACAAATATTTTTTTTGTATGGAAACTATCGACATCTTGTAGCGGATGCCCCTAAAATTACATGTTGTTAAAGCTAAGGTATTTCATTCATGTGTAAAACAAAATCATACAAGGCTTTATTTGTTATAGACCAATTGATAAAATTTTATCAATTTGTGGTTTCTAATAATTTACAAAATCCGTAATTTAAAAAAATAATAGGATAGTTAATGTTACTACCATCTATAGTAGCAATGACAAACTAATCGAAACGAAGCCATCTAGTGGCCGACGCCCGTAAACATTTTTGTTGAGTGCTTGAGTTCTTAGTCTCTAACTAACTTATGTGTATTATCTATATTAATATAAAAATATCTAATATTAAAAAAAAACCCGCTGAGTTTCTTGTCAGTTCTTCTCAGGACGGAGGCTAATTGTTAAAATTGGCGGTAGTTCTTTTTGACGATCAACAAGTATGTACATTCATTTAAGTTGAATAATTTTTGTTTGATTTGATTCGATCGACGCGACATTAGTGAGTGATGGATTTTTTGGCGAGAAGGTGAAGTTGTGTGATTTGTTTTATTTTGTCTATTTAGTGTTTCTTCAGATTTAAATGTGTAGTTATGATGTTTTATTAACTGCTTAATATCTGTGAAAGTGCACAAATGTGGGAAAATGAAACAAAGCCACTGGACATAACTTCTCGGGATCCTCCAAAAAGTCCACTAAAAAATCTCAGTAAATGACCACCATTATACTTAGTTTATATTTCATCCCAGTTGATTAATGTCTCAAATTAATCATCTTCATTTCATTTCACTCCATATTATCATTTTTCATAAATTTCAAGTTTTAAAAAAAATAAAATAATGAGTAATGTTTGAGTGCGTGTTGTGCAGCTGGGCGGCGAGGAGTGCGCGTCCGGGTGCTGCGGGCCGGCGGCGGGCGCGGGCGGCGCCGCGGAGCCGCGCGAGCTGGGCGCCGTGCTGGCCTACCTGCAGCGGGAGGTGCCCTCGCTCGTGGCGCTGCCGCCCAACGAGCTGCGCACTCTGGTGTTGCAGGCGAGTGCCACACCAACCCACTATAAATACTTGCTACAGACGAAAGCTCTTTACTGGTGGTAGGACCTCTTGTGAGTCCGCGCGGGTAGGTACCACTGCCCTGCCTATTTCTGCCGTGAAGCAGTAATGCGTTTCGGTTTGAAGGGTGGAGCAGCCGTTGTAACTATACTTGAGACTTTAGAACTTATATCTCAAGGTGGGTGGCGCATATACGTTGTAGATGTCTATAGGCTCCAGTAACCACTTAACACCAGGGGGCTGTGAGCTCGTCCACCCATCTAAGCAATAGAAAAAAAAGATAAATGTAATAGGCAGCGGGCTTTGCTCTGCCCCTGGCATTGCTGAAGTCCATGGGCGACGGTAACCACTCACCATCAAGTGGGCCGTGTGCTCGTCTGCCTACAAGGGCAATAAAAAAAAACAAAAAAAATACAATAGCCAAACTACCAGATTCTTTTTTGATACAATATAAAAAACTAACTACCATATTCATGCTATATCAAGTAATGATAACAATGAAAGCTTTGCGAGAAAGAGAAAGAAATAATACCCTATCGGTCGTCTCATACCTCTAAAAAATTTAAATGCTTTTAATATTCATGATATTAGAACTTCTGTGGATTTAGGGCTGAATAACCATTTGCTTGATATATTTTGCCTCTTGAATGGAATAATAATTGTATATCTCAATTATATAAGCCTATGAACACTCATTCTTATTTTTATTTAAACTAGAGTGAGACGTATCGCTCGCTTAACCGATATATTGCTTTTCTCTTCTTCTACACAAATAAAATAACAAAAAGTGCGTTAAAAACCGCTTAATTTAACATTACAAATACATAACTAATAAGCTTTTTTTTTTTTTATTGCTTAGATGGGTGGACGAGCTCACAGCCCACCTGGTGTTAAGTGGTTACTGGAGCCCATATACATCTACAACGTAAATGTGCCACCCACCTTGAGATATAAGTTCTAAGGTCCCAACGGTTACCCCACCCTTCAAACCGAAACGCATTACTGCTTCACGGCAGAAATAGGCAGGGCGGTGGTACCTACCCGTGCGGACTCACAAGAGGTCCTACCACCAGCTACTATTATTCAACATGATGTTTGCTAAAGCCGATAAAGTGATAAATTAAAGTAATAATTATTATAACGATCCTTTGTGTAGGTGATGCAGCAGAAGTCTCAGGAGATCCTCTCTGGTAAATGTGGCGAACTGGAAGGTGAATGGTTGGAGGGCGAGGAGCGCCACGCGCGCCGCCTGCTGGCCGCCGCCGAGCAGGCGCTCGCCACCGACTACACCACCAGGCACCACCATCACCACCACGTCGACGTACCGGTAACGATTCAATCTTAATTTTGAAATTATATTTTTACTAGCTGACCCGGCAGATCTGTAGTGCCTCAATCGATAAATAAAAGACCTAAACTTTTGTATAAAATAAACTTAAAAGAAACAAAAGGAATCCGTCCGACGGGGGACACATCAAAGGAAAAACAAAATTGTTATTATTTTTTTAATTCCGAGCATTTTCATATTTATCTACTTTTTAAACCTTCTCTGGACTAACATAAATAATTCAAGACAAAAATTAGCCAAATCGATCCAGCCGTTTTCGAGTTTTAGCGAGAGTAACGAACAGCAATTCATTTTTATATATATATAGTGTTCAATGATTGCTACAGACGTATCGACTGATGCTGCCGGTCTTGAAGCCTACTTTAGATGTGTCAATTGTTTTGGAAAAACAGTTAGTTTTTAACCAGTAAAATCAACAATGACATAAATGATAAGCATGGCGACATATTTGTTTCAGCAACAGCAGAACAACGGTTGTCAGTTCCGGGTAGGCGGGTCACCCCCGTCCGGTGCATTGGAGCCGACGGCGCTGCCCCGGGGGACGGAGGAGGATGTGCAGCCGCCCCCCGACCTCCAACAGCATTTCGCCCTTCCACCTCCCACCCTTCCCTATGACGACTATAGGTATGCAATGATGCGCAATCTCTTGTTATTTATAGAGTAGTACCATTTGAAATATTTCCACAATTGCCAGAGTTGTCGTGTAAAAGTGTTGTTGCAACATTAGTTCACTTAGCGAAGCCCGTAGATTTCACTGTGTCAAAGTCGAAAAAATTTAGATAAGTTTCTCGGCAAAATGTCCTTCCAAATGATTTGATATAGTTTTGTGTTATGTAATTACCCAATTTTGAGTTTTACTACGAGCAATAAAGGTGTCGAAAAAGTATTACTACATTAAATAAAATAAACATATATTGGAAATGAACAGATCGTCGTCGTACACTCCTCCTCTAACGGAACCCCAGCCCCGGCATCCGCAGCAGACAGCACCCCAGCAACACGCCAAGCGCGAACACCACCACGCCAATCCCACCAGCAAGAAAAAGGTTAGCTTAGATCTCTGGATAATTTACATAACTGTCCCGCACCTGGGGATCCCATTCCACAAGTAGTTACCTAGGTAGTGACGCATAACAATCGTGCGGTGTTATATTATATGCATTAAACTTTCGACCGTGACCCTACTGTCTTTTGATAATTTTGAAGAACAAATTACATCTGAGAGATACTTTCAATTGAACAAACTATTTTTTGTCAAGGTTTATAAACATTTTAAATGATGAAATCGACGCAAGTTGACGTCAAGCGTAATCTTTAAATTCGTCTCTTCTCAATATTGAAAAAATAATAATGAAATTGTTATCCAGAGTCGCGGCGGAGGCGCCAGCGGGGGCGCGCGGGCGCGGGTGGGGGAGGCGGCGGCACCCGCGGCGCCCGCACCCGCCGCCTACTGCGCCATGGACGTGGACGGCGAGACCGACTCCAACCACGACACCGCACTCACGCTGGCGTGCGCCGGCGGCCACGAGGACCTCGTCGAGCTGCTGCTGTCCCGCGGGGCGGACATCGAGCATCGCGACAAGAAGGTGCGACCACATATAATAACTCAGTATCTACTGGACTTTGTTAGCCCACTGAGTTTCTCGCTGGAACTTCTCAGTGGGTCGCGTTTCCGACCCGGTGCTAGATTCTGCGAAGCACTGCTCTTGCTAGGGTCAGTGTTAGCAACACTTCGGTTTGAGCCCCGTGAGCTCATCTACACAGGTTAGGGTGAAGCTGAAATAGCCTCTCAAGGATCAGCATAGGTAGGGAAAAAAAAGACTGTTCACTGACCTATCCATCGGGTGGAGGTTGGGACGATCGACTAAGACGAATTTTTAAATGTAGTTTGTATCGTGGTATGAAGTATAGTTAATATAGTATGTATAGTAAAAAATATAAATCTTATCAGTTTCAATTCAGTTAGATATTCAACTAAACAACGTATCAAATGTAGGGTTTCACTCCACTTATCCTGGCGGCTACGGCCGGTCACGAGAAGATCGTCGAGATCCTTTTGAACCACGGCGCAGATATCGAGGCGCAGTCGGAACGCACAAAGGACACTCCCTTGTCGCTGGCGTGCAGCGGCGGCCGCTACGAAGTAGTCGAACTCATCCTCAGCCACGGCGCCAACAAGGAGCACCGCAACGTATCCGACTACACGCCACTGTCGCTGGCCGCCTCCGGGGGCTACGTCAACATCATCCGGCTACTGCTCACGCACCAGGTAAGTGTGATGCGCTAGAACTCTGGAAACCATTATTATCTGTAATGTAATGACAAAAGTTCCGTAACTAAACCTTAACTTCTCAGGCGGAAATCAATTCTCGCACTGGCTCGAAACTGGGTATATCACCGCTGATGTTGGCCGCCATGAACGGTCACACGGCAGCGGTGCGACTCCTTCTCGACTGCGGGTCCGATATTAATGCGCAGATAGAAACCAACAGGAACACGGCGCTCACCCTCGCTTGTTTCCAAGGTACCTCCTAATGTAGTAGCTAGCTGAATTAGAGGTGGGCTCGAAATCAAATCTCATGTAAACTCAAAAAGCGAGCTTGTCGACTCTAAACAAGGAACCATTAATGAAAATCGTAACATTCATTTTGTACTGAACAAGCTTGAAATGTTTTGGACATTGTCAATTTCGCTGTGCAGGTCGACATGAGGTCGTCAGCTTGTTGCTGGATCGCAAAGCGAACGTGGAGCACCGCGCCAAGACCGGCCTCACGCCGCTCATGGAGGCGGCCAGCGGCGGATACGTGGAGGTGGGACGCGTGCTGCTCGACAAGGGCGCTGACGTCAACGCGCCGCCCGTGCCCTCCTCCCGGGACACCGCCCTCACCATCGCCGCAGACAAGGGACACACCAAGTTCGTCGAACTGCTGCTGCAGAGGTAGCTTCCTTTCGCTTTGCTGAAGATTGCTTTGACTCATCAAACCAAAAGCCATGAATGTTTCGTCGCTGACGAGCAGGATAGCCTTTTTTTTTGCTTAGATGGGTGGACGAGCTCACAGTCCACCTGGTGTTAAATGGTTACTTGAGCGTATAGACATCTACGACGTAAATGCGCCACCCCACCTTGAGATATAATTACTAAGGTCTTAGAATAGTTAGTTACAACGGCTGCCCCACACTTCCAACCGAAACGCGTTCCTGCTTCACGGCAGAAATAGGCAGGGCGGTGGTACCTACCCGCGCGGCCTCACAAGGTGTCCTACCGCCAGTAATTACACAAATTATAATTTTGTGGGTTTAATTTTTATTACACGATGTTGTTCCTTCACCGTGGAAGTCAATCGTGAACACTTGTTAAGTACGTATTTCATTAGAAAAATTGGTACCCGCCTGCGGGATTCGAACACCGGTGCATCGCTCAATACGAATGCACCGGACGTCTTATCCCTTAGGCCACGACGACATTACTTACTACCTGTGCGAGCTCATAACAACCCTATCACCGATTGCACCAAATTGCGACCTTCATTTTATTACACGATGTTTGCCGTGTAAACCTCTGGATACTTCGAACATTTAGTATTTTTCACGATCATGAGTAATTTACGACTGAGTAATTTACGACTATTAAAAACAATAATTGTTACCTTGAATGTCCATCCAGGCGAGCCGCCGTCGAAGTAAAGAACAAGAAAGGCAACTCCCCCCTATGGCTCGCCGCTAACGGCGGACATCTCGCCGTTGTCGAGATGCTGTACGCAGCCGGCGCTGACATCGACTCTCAAGACAATAGAAAGGTATATTGACTGTTTGATTCGAATTGCAAAATACGAACAAAAAATGAAAACGGTTAAAATAAAAATAAAATTTTATAAATTTCATGGAAATAGAGTATTGTAATACAAATGTTATAGGTTTCGTGTTTGATGGCTGCCTTTCGTAAAGGTCACATAAAAGTGGTCAAATGGATGGTCGGGGTCGTCACGCAGTTCCCTTCAGATCAGGAGATGACTAGGTAACTTTAAATTTAATTTAATTTTATTACATTGCCTTAATGGGAGCACCAGGTTAAAAAAACTGAATACTTACATTTTTAAATTTGATTAAATTTGGCTATAAAACTGTTCTTTTTTAGTTTTTAAAATAAATAATTTCTTTTAAAATTAATAGGACATCTTGTTTATTGAGTGTTATATTGAATTGTCTGCCTGCTTCGTTGTCCAGGTACATCTGTACCATCTCGGACAAGGAGCTTTTGGAGAAGTGCCAAGAGTGCGTGCGCGTGATCCGCGCCGCCAAGGAGACGCAGGCCGCACGCGCCAACCAGAACGCAACCATCCTCCTCGAAGAACTTGACGCAGAGAGGGAGCGGGAACTCTGTCGAAGGCAGGCCGCTGCCAGGAGACGGGAACGGAAAAAGAAGAAGAAGATGGAAAAAAAGGTAGGAAGGACTTTCATTAAGCGAGTATCGTGATTATTGAAGCTGCTTTTGCGCATCTCTTGAATCAACTCCATCATAAAACTCTTCAATTATTTATGATTAGCGACCCGCCCTCGCTTCGCTTCGGAAACATTGAATTTTATTATTGATGATAGCTGAGTCCCTCGATGCTATCCCGCTTATTTTTGTACCGCGGGTCACGCTGCGGGGCGAAGCTAGTCTAAAAAAAGTTGCCTAAGTTACTCTTTATATCATCAGCTATAGTAATCGGCAAACTTCTTGAGCAAATGACCTTGACTGCGCAGAACCGAATTTTAGATCACTTTGGTGGTGAGGGTGAGGCGCGACGGCAGGGGAAATCGTATCGAGCGCGTTATTGGTAGATCAATCGAACCTTGCGTCCCGCACCGCGCCCTCATTCCGCTTGCTCCCAAAAGTACGCTTGCGTACAGTGGAAAGTCTATCGTTATTAATCGTTAAGTTATTTGTTATAATTTCTTGTGGACTTTGTTGCCATTGCTATTTGTTGAGTGTTTGTTGATTTTTTATAAAACATACACTATGCCGTGACAAACTGGTGTAGTACTTAAAAGAAAGGGTAGAAAATTTGTGTACGACGTATATTGCTTCATTATAAAACAGGGGAAGAATGATATGGAAAAATTAAAACAGACTTCGGAAGCAACAAAAACATCAGTGAGTACTGTTAGGTGCATTATTAACGAAGCTAAAGGCTCTGGCTTGCTCGCCGTGTTTCGGACTCCGGGTAAGAAAAGATCAGGGAAGAAGAAAGTTACCGGAATGGATAGTTTCGTTCAATCTGTAATAAAAAGATGTAATCATAATAACTACATAACAAGCAGCGAAACTCCGTACCGTAGAAAGGCTTCGAAACATTTAAAGAAGATTTAAATTTTAATGGCTCGGAATGAAGCTTACGACGAATTATGAAAGAGCTAGGCTTCAGATGGAAAAAAAGAACAGAAAATAATCGGAAGCTGGTAAATGAAAAAAGTAACATTCGATTACTACGAATCGAATATCTTCAAAAAATAATTAATTATAGACAAAAAAGAAGACCGAACCGACCGAGTTGTAAACTACGCCGATGAGCCCTATGTCGACTCATCACGATGATAGCGACTCGGGTGATGAAAACAGTGATGATGATGATGGTCAAGATTATGATAACGAAAAAAAAATACAAATACCAGCTTCGCTTCAACTGAACCAAGACCTGGCAACAGCTCTAGTTTTGACTTAATAGAAGGAATATCTATTTTACCCCAAGATTAAATTATTACAATTATTAACCTATATATTTTGTTAATGTTCTAATAAATATATAAATAAATACATATTATGTTGATTTTAATAAATAGCATTATGACGCAGAGTAAGTAATGTTTTTGCACGTGAGTGTACCATGCGCAAACTTACCCCCACTACGTCAACAAATGCTCAAGAAGTTTGCCGGTTATTATACCTATCAGTGAAAGTATCGTGAAAATCGGTCCAGCCGTTCCAGAGATTAGCCGGAACAAACAGATAGACAGACAGACAGACAAAAAAATATATATATTTTGGTATATGTATTATGGTATACATTAAAAAAGGGTTATTTTATTATTACAAACAGACACTTCAATTTTATTTATTTGTATAGATGAAATTATTAAATTAAAAAATAAAGATATATATAACCAACATGGTTGAAATATTTCATTAAACAGTTTGTAAAAACAATCTTACAGGAGGAACGTCGCAAGATGCAAGCGGAGCCGGACAAGAACTCCGAATGTAGTGACAAAGCGCTCGGAGACTGTTCCGAGGGCGGCGAAGGGGACGACGAACCCAGCCCTAAGGAAGAGGGCGACTCCGGCATCGATGCCAACTCACAGGTAAAAATATTCAATACAGTAGGTAAATGGATTTATTTGTTTAATCGACCTTATTGGCACTGATTGATAGATGCGGTGTCCTAGCAAGACTAAGCTGTCATTATATTTCTTACACTGTGGCATGAATAAGCAGTGTCGAAAACTCACTTGCATAACAGATCTATCCATTAAACTTAATCAAAAACACTAGTCTCAAAACTCCAGTATAATAATTATTGTTAATTTACATCCAAAGTAAAGTGATTAATTACAAATCGTTTATATTTTATTAATGTTTGTACAAATATATAAATAACGGTCTGTTTGATTTCCACAAGGACCACGACCACGTTACTTCCTTTAAAACAAAACAAACAAAAATGTATTTAGCCTTAAAATATGTTCTTTATACTTTGTAACCTAGTGTTTGAGCTTTCTCAAAGCAAGAATTTGTATTGTTATAAGGTTTAAACAAATGACAAATAATATAGGGTTCGTGTTCGTCGTCCGATGTGAAGGCTCCTCCTGTACAACCCGCCAAGAGTAAGAAAAAGAAAAAAGAGGACAAGGCATCTCCTCCTCCACCTCCCAGTACCGTCAAGAAACAACCTGACAAAGTGAGTATCGCTAAAATAACGATTTAGTAGTAGCAAGTTGCAAATTTATTGCAGTTAATATTCTTTTTGTTATCGATTATTCTACTTTTCGTCCAACTCGACAAATAATCTTGACATAAACTATAGCGTGAAATTGGCACCCGTAAACACACATGTGACATAAAAATTCTCAAAAATGCTAGTAGCTAGAAGTGCCTTTTCTCGCATTTTATCACGTGTACAGTAATGGAAAACTTCATGTAAATGTCATCATTCCACAGCCTAAACCTAAGATAGAGACAAAACCCGAACGAGAACCAACTCCCAAACCTGACAAGAAGGAGAAGGAAAATGTAGCACCGTCCTCGCCGCCGACACCTAAACCGGTCGAGAGACGACTGCCCGAACGAAAGGAGAAGTGAGTCTTGGCCTTTAATTGTACACGTATTGTATTGTTTAAATGTTCACTTATACGGCGTATGTTTAAGGATATACTTCACATACATTCAATCCATTAGCGTTTATAACCAAAAAATATAATATTTGCATAATATCCAACAGATTCCTCGTTTTCATGTTAATTTTGAAAACAAATGAAGCGTTATCATTATAATGAATTTAAAGAATAATAAACGATATATATACCTAATTTTGCTCACGATCCTACGATACATAATATTTTTTTCGACGCATTGACAGATTAAAACTTGAGACAAAATAGGAATTGTTTGTTTTTCGCTTCACGCTTCATACAATATAATTGTAATTTTACAATTGATTACCAATGAAAACAAACCAACAAAACAACTTAACCAACCCAAATGACAATAGTTCTTCAAATAAAGAAACTAAAATTACATTGTTAAAAACATGGTAATGTAAAAAATTACTTTTCAGTTAATGCATTATAATCATTATATGAACGAACTGTTTGTGAAAGCTACATATATATTTTGTTAATTTCACATTACTAACAGTTTTTATAAAAGTTTTCAATATAAACATGTGTTGGTATGTTTTTGTTGCAAACAAATAAGGGTTTCTATCGATAAGTTTTGTAATACAAGGAGACCACAAACTCACCTACCTACAAGCCAGTGCAATACCTTAACATGATCAAAATTAAATGCCCCGAGTATGAGTATGAAAAAGGGGCTTACATGAATTGTTCTTACAGAAAATCCGAAGAGGAAAGTCCTAAGAGCATAACAGTAGCAAACGTTAACAAGTATGGAAACAACAGAAAGAGCCAGGTCTTCGAATCGAGCCGGCTTAATTTGGACGATACAGACACAACTGACAAAAATAAGAAGACCTCAAGCACACAACAGTAAGTCCAAATTATAAATGTGAACATGATGTAGCCCCTTAATTGGGCATTAAGATTTCATAGTCAGTTAATTTTAATTATATATAATAACAACACTGCTATTGATTGTTTAAAATATGAATATATTAAATTAGAAATAAAATATCAATCGAAAAATTATATTATGCATGTTTTTACTTTGCGTCAATTGGATGAATTAATTGTTATAATTTTGTTTGTAATTTCGTTGGTTGACAAGTTTTGTTGATTATTGGGCAGTGACATAATAAACTATGGTGCAAAAGCGTAAATGTGCATGTCCTTAAGAGACTAAAATTCAAAAAAAGAAATTTGTCACTCAATATTTTAGGAAGAACCTAATAAATGTGTTTTGATGCAGATGGGAGATTGAAGCCAAGAGTACTTCTCCCAAAGCTGGTTGCGTCGGAGGTCGCCGCGAGGAGGGCTGGAAGGAAGTTGTGCGCAAATCTAGTGTACAAACCGTATCCACAGTCGAACCTGGGTACGTAGATATATAGCGTATTATTTCTAATAAAACTCCACTACAATAAGATTTGGTTTTAAATCGCATTTCTTAGGTTGACTTGTATCTGTAGTATATACTATATAATATAATATTTTAACTTGTCTACTTTAAAACTTACAATGATTTAAAAAAATTACTAATGTAATATAATTTATTACTGTCGCCTAATATCATGATAAAGATAACAAGTTTTTTTTAAAGTATTTGTACTATTCGCTATTGAAGCGAATTATTTTAAACTTCAACCTACTTTTTTTTATTTGTATATAGAACAAAATGAACTAAATCATTAAAATTTATCGCACAAATTCAATTCAGGTGCAAGAAAGTGTCCGTTGCATCGCACGCGATATCCCGCGTGATCGGTCGCGCCGGCAGTAACATTAACGCCATCCGCTCGGTGACCGGCGCCCACATCGAGGTCGACAAGCAAAGTAAGGGGCAGGGCGAGAGGATCATCACGATTAAGTAAGTCATCTGCAAAATACTTTACTATAACTGTACTTCTTTTGGAGTTTACTCCTTTAGAATCGATTTACATATATAGGCCCGGGGTATGAAAATTATGGGGACCAAAATCGTACTAGCATGTCACACGAAATGCGTTATGCGCCTGATTGGCTCCTGATTGCGTGATGCGTGCGCGCGCCAATCAAAATCGTACTAGCATGTCACACGAAATGCGTTATGCGCCTGATTGGCTCCTGATTGCGTGATGCGTGCGCGCGCCAATCAGGAGCCAACGCGCGGCCGCGTTATCGCAGGTGACGCCGGGCTGCTGCGCCGGCAGTCCGCCACAAAGCCTCGTACTGATCGCGCGTTTCTCTCATTATTGTATTTTCATATATTTGTTAGTCGTTTGTTTTGTGTCTCGTTAATTTGTTAATAATCTGTAGTGTATCGTGTTGTCGTAATATAGAACTATTTCTCGTATTGTTTCGTTTAATTTTTTATATCCAGTAAACTCCAGTCGTGCGTCGGAGCGGACACACACATTTTTTTGCTTAGCGACTACTGTACCATGAGGCAACACACTAGACGATCTAAAGAAGGAGAGACATATAATTCTTTAAATTTTTGTCGTACAATTTTAACTACTTAGATACATACTTGAAATACCTCTGTAGCTGTATGTATAAATATCATCATCATCATTCTTTCATATTACCCTCTGCTGGGGTGTAGGGCACGAATCAAATCCTTCCATTTACTTGTATAAATATATATATATATGTAAATAAATTTAATTCAGGTTTACGAAAACGTTTTAAACGCTTTTGTATTACCCAAGCTCGGGTAATGAGCTATTGATGTGATTTCACCATAGTAATATTTTAATGAAACGGTATTGTAGAATGTGCGATGTACATGTTATTTTCAAAACAAAGTAGTGCCATTGAAACTGTAGACAAGTTTTTATCCTTAAAATTGATGTATTTGTGTAGGGGCTCGGCTGAAGCCACAAAGCAAGCCGGCGTTCTGATCGCAGCTATGATCCGCGACCCCGAGGCCGACCTGGGAGCGCTGTTGCCGCGCGCCAAGCCGGCTCCCGCACCGCATCCTGCCAAGCCTGTCAAGCAACCCGCCGCCAAGGTACTTCGATAACATTACAAACTTCAATTGTATCTTGAATTTTTATTTATTTGGTAGGGTCATTTGATGTTATCTAACTGAATGTAAAAAAAGGTTATTTTAATATATTTATGGTTTGGAAATATCAATACGTGGACATCTGACCTTTATAACCTCTAATGCTGACATAAAAATCAGAGAGCACAACAAAATTCATTACTGGTACAGATTTATAATAATAATAAATACGAAGTAAGGTTAGGGGAATTGACAGTTGATTCATGATTTTGGAAAGGAAAATTGCTTCTTTTTAACTTAAAAAAAAAAGCGTTGTTAAAAAATTGGAAGTTATGTAAAGTTATATGACCAAAAAAATTTGTATATATACTTAACTTTTGAAACGAATGTATTGTGGTATGTTATATATACTTGTCATGTGTATATTATACTTGTCATTCATTAAAAATGGCGCATGATGTGCAACTTTCATGCCGTCTGCATGGGGTGAAGCTAGCTTAATGCCACTGTAACTGTGAAACGATAACATGTGTTGTATGCAGCCTGGCCAGCCGGGCGCCCCGTGTCCGACGAGCAGCAGCGCGGCGCCGGCCCGCAGCGCGCCCGCCGCCCGCCCCGCGCCCGCACGCGTGCCCGCTCGACACGCGCCCACACGTACGCACGGTAACATTCCTACGCCCTGACGCCACTGACCATGCTGCCTATTTCTGCATCAATCCATTCCAGGAACAGGGTAAACATTATTCTAATGATAATTAAATGCTAACTTCATGTCTAAAACTGAACAGTGGCCTCTCAGAAAGTGATGCTTATTGTAATTGCTTAAAAACAGTAGATTAGATTGAGGATTGAAGCGAATAACAAAATAACAGTCTTACCGCTGCAAGACAGCATAAATTAATTAAAGATACACTAGTTTTAGTAATGATTCACTTGGTAATGCTGATATGTATGGCTTAAGATAGAAAATAAATTGATGAGAAACTTTTAGCTAGTTTAGCTTGAAGACCAAAGTCAGAGTTATTATACACTAGCGGCTCGCTTCGGCTCCGCTCGGGTCTTTAACAAAAATTTTAATGACGTTGTTTTATTTTTTAAAATAAAAGAACACTTATTGCGGCATAACTATAATACATATTATTATACTGTCACGACACTTTTTGTAAATAATAATGTGTTCTACAGAGTCGTAATACATTATTTTGTTCTATCATCAATAGTTTTCGAAGGGCACCTGATATAAAGAATATTTTTTTACACCTTGGGTTATATTATTGGGAGTTTTAGTAAGGATCCCTAATTTCAAAAAATATTATAGCCTATGTTCATCAGGGACAATGTCGGCTTCTAATGGAAAAAGAATTTTTCAAATCGGTCCAGTAGTTTCGGAGCCTATTCGAAACAAACAAACAAACAAATCTTTCCTCTTTATAATATTTGTATAGATAATAAGATAATATAGATTAGTATAGATTTAATTTATTTGCTGACCAAATTAATGTAAATTAAAAATTTAATCAATTTGAATAGCGGTAACAACGGAAAAGCGTCCGTCATCGAGTATTGGCGTGACGGCGAGCACCAGCAGCTCGGGCAGCACGGCGAGCAGCAAGGCGAGCACGGCGCTCTCGTACACGGGCGCCATCGTGGGCGCGCGCTCGCACACGTTCGCCGCCAAGCTCACCGCCAGCGTCGCGCCCCTCGCCCTCGCCGCCGCCGACCACAAGCCCAGACCTGCGCCACTGGTATGTCGATACTTATCATCAACCACAAATGTACATCAGCGCCACCTAGGAAACAGACAAGAGCGTATTAATATTGACTCGCAAACTTCAACTAAGTTTTTTTTTTATTGCTTAAATGGGTGAATGAGCTCACAGCCCAACTCGTGTTAAGTGATTATTGCAGCCTATAGACATCTACAACGTAAATGAGCTACCCGTCTTGAGATATAAGTTTTAAGGTCTCAGTATAGTTAGTACGGCTGCTCCACCCTTCAAACCGAAACGCGTTACTGCTTCACGGCTGAAATAGGCAGGGCGGTGGTACAAAAAATAATTGTAATAACTAAAAAACTTCGTTTTGTTGTTTTTGCTTGGTTTGAAACTATCACAGATTATATGTACAGCACATAATTATTCGAACACAGCAAATCACAGCAGATCATAATAAAAATAAATATAATAATAATAAATAAAATTATCAGCAGCCAACGCCGAACAGCGGCCCGGGTCCGGCCGCGGTTTCCCCGCTGAAGTCTGCGCGAGAGAGCTCGCCGTCGCCCGCGCCCGCCACGCCCGTCTCCAGACCTGAAGAGGTTGACATTAAACAACCACGACTACCCGAGAGAACGGTGCAGGTGATTCAATTTCTTAACATGCATTTCTTAAAATTTACTCTGTATCTATCTATATAAAAATGAATTGCTGTTCGTTAGTCTCGCTAAAACTCGAGAACTGCTGGACCGATTTGGTTAATTTTGTTCTTGAATTATTTGTGGAAGTTCAGAGAAAGTTTAAAAGGTAAATAAAGATGAAAATGTTCGGAATTAAATAAAAATGACAATTTTGTTTTTCCTTTGATGTGTCCCCCGTCGGACGGATTCTTTTGGTTTGTTTTAAGTTTTTTTATACAAAAGGTCAGGTCTTTTATTTGTCGATTGAGGCACTACGAAGTCTGCCGGGTCAGCTAGTATTTGATAAAGATCCATTGTTATTAAGAACTGCTCTTGCTAGGGTCAGTGTTAGCAACACTCCCGGTTTGAGCCCCGGAGGCTCGCCTACACGTCAAGGAGAAGCTGAAATGGCCTCTCAAGGTTATCAGCATAGGTAGGGAAAAAAATATTGGTAGAACGTATTATAAGTTCACACTGATCACGCTTCCATCTTGCCTGTTTCTGTCACCAAGCAGTCCTGCGTTCCTGTTTGAACATTGAGCTGTTATAAGATAATTGAGAGTTAGGCTTCATATCACTATGGTGATGGCATCGGTCTGTAGACTCCTGTAAGTACTTAATACCAGATCAGACGACGTGAATCTGAAAACGTGGGAATTCAAACATAAAACTTCCAGTAACCCATTAATCCGTGTTGTTGACATCTGAAAAAAATTTAGCTATATTGCCTTTAAAACTATAATATGTATTAATTTGTAATTGCAGCTGAGTCCCGATACTACAAGCTCATGGAGCACAAATGAAGACAACACGATCAACACTTCCACGTCAACCACTGCTTTGCACATTAACACTACAGCGCAGGTTATTATTTTAAGACTGGTTAAATTAAATAACTATTGATTAATAAAATCGTAAATTTACCAAGTATCATATTTAAAAAAATAATAATATGTGCATATTGAGTTTTTTTTATCTTATTTTAATTGTAAAACATCACAAGATCGAATCACATAATCTTTGTCAAATTAGTGTTAGTTAGCGTTCCCCATCATGCATTGCTAAGAAATTATTATTCGAAAATTTATTTGATTTTTCTAATTAATATGATTCCTTTTCTGAAGGATTCACCTCTGACTTCTAAACGTAATCGAACACAGAAGTATATTTCGTAAATTCGAAGGCAGTTTTTTTTTATTGCTTAAATGGGTGGACGAGCAGCTCACAGCCCACCTGGTGTTAAGTGGTTACTCGAGCCCATAGACATCCACAAAGTAAATACGCCAGCCACCTTGAGATATAAATTCTAAGGTCTCAAGTATAGTTACAACGGCTGCCCGACCCTTCAACCGAAATGCATTACTGCTTCACGGCAGAAATAGGCAGGGTGGAGGAGGTACCTACCCGTGCGGACTCACAAGAGGTCATACAACCAGTAATAATAATATTAATAAGTTTAATACAATAATAATGAAGTATGATATATTTGGTTAGTGCGGCGTTGTATCGAGCGGCAGCGGCGGTAGCGCCCCGGAGTACTCGCTGTTCAAGGACGTGTCGGGCGCCGCCACGCTGTGGTCCGCACCGGCTGAACATAATGAGCCGCCTCCGCCGCAGGTAACATTATTTTATTACACTCGAAGGCACCCGGTTCTTTTGAATTGCCTTTGTTAATGAGTGTTCTTAATACTAGGAGCATTAGCTGCATAAGACTAAGAATCTAGTCAATTTTGCGTAACGTAGTGGTGCTTCGGCAAAAATATCCAAAGGAATCCAACCCCTTTTTTGGTAATCCAGATTCTAGAAGATATGTGGAAAAATTATAATTTTGACATTGTTGAATCAGTATACGAAAATAATCAGATGTAATGAATTGCTCGCACTAATGATTGTTTATTTGTGTAGGTGGACGCGAGCAAAGCGCCAGGGTACCGCGGGGGGAGCGGCGCGGGTACGGGCGCAGCGGGGACGGGGGCGGCGGGCGGGGGCTGCTCGCCGTGCTCCCGCACCTCGTCGCACGGCTCCACGCCGCCGCCTGCGTACGCGCCCTACCACACCGACCATATGCCGCACCACCACTCCCGACCCTCCTACCAGGACACGCCGCCCAGGAATAACATTATGGTCAGTACCCCTACACTACTCGCTCAACCGAGTTTGAGATTCACGCATTGCTTACTTTAAAGTTTCATTTTAAAAAAAGCAAATATATATTATAATGTATTTTCCCCACATAACACTATGAAATAAATTTTTTTTTACCATATTACAGTATTTTTAATAATTATATTGCCTATAATATGATTTATTTCATTAATTTCTAGGTATCGATGTCGAGCGGTGTGAACATGAGCGGAGTGAACATGAGTGGCGCCAACATGTCCGGCTCCTCGCTGGGGCTCGGCTACGTGGGGGTCGAAGGGGTGTCCCGATTGAATCCCCGGGCGCCCGACTTCGCTCAACGACACACGCTCATACACAACAAACACAATGCACAGGTATTACTTGAAGCTTCTTGTGGTAGACATGATATTTTTATAAATTACTAGCTAAATCTCGCGATGTTACCCGCCGTTATTGTCGTCCCACTCCGCGGAACGAAGCTAATCTAAAAAAAGTAGCCTAAGTTACTCCTTATATTATTATCATCAGCTACCTATCCGTCTCGTCAAAATCGGTCCAGAGATTAGCCGGAACTAACAAACAGACAAAAATTGTAAAAATAATATATTTTTGTATGTACCGTATACATATATTCATATGCATGTAGTAAAAAGCGGTTATTTCAATATTACAAACAGATGTACATTACAACATATTTATAAGTATAGATAAAAAAATCCAAACCTTGATAAACTGCCGTTCTGTGTGAAATGAAACTTAAAAGTTAACTCGAAAGACTAGAAATATTTAGAAAATACGAGAGCACAATATTAAAATATCGATGAATTAATCCAGTAAAAATTTTCATGATACAGAACTAACTATATTTTTGAACATTGTCTTAACCTGCTTTACAAATTTTATACCAAAACTGGCTTTTTCTGAGGGGCCAAGTATCCTATTCAATAAATTCCATTCCCAAGTAATAAAAACTTTAAACACCACTTGCAGATTAGGCTCGTCTCATATCACTTTTTCATTAGTGATTAAATATAATTATTGATATCCTTTGATTTTATTTTAACCTTTTAAACGCCACATCAGCTGAGTGCTTCGTAATGAGTTCCGTTTTCAATACCTATCTAAATGGGAAATCCGTAATTCAATAAAATTGTCATTTATGGTGTAGTCTCAACTCTTCTATGTTCGCTAATAACAAAAAAAACACTTATCTAACTTTTTATTGTAACTACAGATGATGTTATTTTTATTTTGATAGCAATTGTTCGGTGGTGGCAGCAACTTGAGTAACTTACTCATGTACCAACAGCCTGTGTCGCAGTCGCCAAAACCGAACCATCAAACCCACCTTGCTTACCAGGTATGAACACCGTTAAACTGTTGCACACATTAAGGAATGCAATGTGTGCCTGCAGCACATCAGTATTGTTTGTATTATTGTAATACAGTCTTTCCCAAAGTGGGCGATAACTCTCCCTTGTGGGCGCTGGAGGCCTCAAAGGAGGGCGGTAAGAGACCCAGAAAAAAAAAATGGGGGCGTTCTGTAGATGCATGGGAGGCGATTTGTAATTTCATTTAGGAGGACTCTTAGACACCGACTGAAATGGGGGCGCTAAAATATAACTTATTCTCAAAGTGGGTAGTAGACAAAATAAGTTTGGGAGCCCCTGTTCTAACAGAAGGACGTGTCCACAGAACACCATCACTTGTTTATTTATTTACTAGCGACCCGCCCTCGCTTCGCTTCGGAAACTGTAATTTATTATTAATTTCTGCACTATTTAATAGATGTTATTATACATATAAACCTTCCTCTTCAATCACTCTATCTATTTATAATAAAAAAACCGCATCAAAATCCGTTGCATAGTTTTAAAGATTTAAGCACACATAGGGATATAGGGACAGAGAAAGCTACTTTGTTTTATACTATGTAGTGACTCACTCACCATATTTGGACGGCTATTTAAAAATATAAATAAATACAGCACAAATGTACAGATGAATGATGATGCATTTTGGATTCCCAGTCATTGCTGGATCGCGGCGTGAATGTCAGCGGAGTGGGTAACGTCGGCAGCGGTTGGGGCGCAGAAGAAGAGGAACGCAAGCCCCGTCCTATTGGAACTGAACGCGCGTGGAAACTAACCGCAGCCGAGGACTGGTCCCACGCCAACCTGCCGCACGCGACCGCGCACCACATGCAGGACCATGACCGCTATCAGGTAACGTTATTTTATAATGTCATTTATTATATAAATGTAGGATTAGTAAGAACGGAACGTATGAAAATAGTGTGGAACGGAGCGTTAAAATGTGAGTGAAAGAAAACGGAAAGAAAGGGAGAAGAGAATGACAGAGAAAAAGAAGATGGCGAGGACCGCCGCGGACCGCGAGGCCGAGTTTCTCGCCGGATCTTCTCAGTGAGTTACGTTTCCGATCCGGTGGTAGATTCTGCGAAGCGCGGCCCTTGCTAGGGTTCGTGTTAGCATCGTCGTCAGATTTGAACCCTGTGAGCTCACCTACTAGTTAAGGTTACGCTGATATAGCCTCTCAAGGCTCTCAACTTAGGTTTAAACAAAATGGCGAGGACGGTTGAAAAATGAGCAAGACATAATAAAAGGGTTAATTATTAATTGTTAATTATTATTATAATAGAAGATTTTGGAACAGTGGAAGTTTTATTTTATGCACTGCGATCTCTATTTTACATAAATACGCTCTTGACTAAACGCATTCCTACACAAGGTTGCGATGGACGAAAAGTAATAGTGATGAGTTCAGTTCTTGTTCAATCATATGAATGAACAATGAGTGTGAAGAGTTAATCATCAATTTCAAATTATAAAAGAATATAATTTATATTTTACAATAAAATTGTATTAAAGTGCTCCAATATATGTTACTAGTAGTATGTAACTACAATCAGTTTTTTTTATTTTCATTACCTACCTATAATTGTTCTATTTTATACATCTATAGTTTCAACTATATGATGTATTGAAAATAGGACAGTCTTACAAGCTTCATCGCAATGTTTTTCTTTATGTTTAAAACACTCGATATTCGGTACAGGTAAATACTATAGGAACATAATATTTCGTCGAAAAGTCGTTGGTATGTACAAAGCACGCCTAAAATTCGAACCCCGTACCCGATATCGGCAATTCGGCACACCGACTATTCACTAGACAATCGAGGCAATTTCATTAATTCAGGAGTTTTTTCAATCGTTCACCTTGTTACAACACTATTTTTATTTCATCAAAAACTGACAACACAGTAAACGTCAGTTGACTTCGTCTAATAAAAAATCCGAATATAGGATTGAATTACTAATATGGTAGAGTATAATAATATGATAACACTGCTTTTATCTCAGTTTACTTGGTTCAGCAATTTGACTACTAGAGAAATAATGCATAGCCCGCTTAATAATAGGAGTCATCAAATGTAAAGTAGCCAAAGTATAATTCAATAAATATTGATTTAATGTTATCCAAACTGTTATTAAGGAAATGGTAAAAGTGAACGAATGATAACAGCCTGAAGATAATATATTTTTTCATAAATTGAATATCAACTAATTCCAGGTTCAGTTTGAAATGGGTTATTTATTCATGAATATACTTACAGGGTGTTTCGAACATGGGCGCCATGGGTGGCGTGGGTGTGGGCGTGGGCGGCCTGGACGGGTCTGCGTACGGAGCGGGCGGACTGTCGCTGCTGCAGCTGCCTCTGCAGTACTTGCCGCCCACCGTCACCCCCGCGCCCGAACCCCCGCACCACTGGGACCCCGCCCCTCACCATGCACACGACAAACAGGTACTACTGAACACCTATTCATACCCAATACATATTATTATGATGAAATTATATAGAAATATCTTTTTGAATACGATAGAGGTCTCGTAGCTGTTTGTATTCACATTGTCAAAGAAATTGTTTCTAAATTATTATGATGAATTCTATGACTGTTGTAAAAAAAACTTCATTAAATAGATACGTTTTGTCAGTAGGGTCATATCTGTGTTTGTATAATGAAACTATTAGAAAATATTTTTACCATAAATGGTTGGTTTGTGAATTAGTTTTTTTCGTTAATTCACGTATTTGAAACCTTTAAGATTACGAAAATAGCCCTTGTTTACACCGAATTAAGTATGTTCCTTATCATAGCGTCACATTTCACAAACACTAATCAGTATTTATTTGTCAGCAGACCTGGAGCAAGTGGACTCACTAAGAGTCCGGACCGGCTATGACGACTACTGCCTTAAATTGAAATACGTGAGCGCGCCTCACAACGCGCGCTCTACCGACCGACGAGGATATACTCTGTATTCGTAACCTTGGAAACGGTGTAGATATTAGTGAGAAAGATTATATTATACAGATTATCTATATACATAATAGAGAAAATGTCCTATCGAAATGAGACCTCCCTGTACTGTCGACTGAAGTGAGCATTAAACGATTAATTCTGATGGAACTCGTGAGGGGAGCCGCATGTAGTTTTATTTGACTGCCGCTCGTCGCCGCGAGACCGCGTTAGACAAATTATAGTTACGTTATAGTCGGCGTCGCGCCGTTTTCCTCTCGTGTAGAATGTACGCGTGACGAATGTAATGATTGGTGGCTTGGAATTTGATTCCGAATTGCCTCCCAAGTGTTTTGCGTTGCCTTGACCGGGCCCTGTCCCGGAGACATCTCGTCATACATATTTTACACTTTTTGTTACGGCATAATACGATATTAATTTGAATGATTAAAGTGCTGGCGTGACCGAGGCGGATGATTAATTATACGTGTATTAATAAAATTTGCTTGTACATGAAAATTAAATATCATATATTGATGCACTGTATCCACTGGTGTTTTTTAATAATACCACCTGTTTTTTTCTAGTAATTCTTTTTATTAGGTTTATTTGGGTAATGTGTATATTTATATAAGTAAATTATTATATTGAAGACTTTGTCTCGAATATATGATTAAAAGCAGGATATATGCGGTAAGTTCTAGGCAAATAAACCGTTGTCAAAATATCTCAGTGTCTTCTTGAATAGGACCTAGAAATATGAAAATAATGCAGATCTGCCAGTGGTCTACATGCTCATGTGCTTAATGAGGTAATACTTACCCTTATAGCTCATGAAAATAAAAGGCGAAATTTCAGTAACAAATTTATTCGAGATTCATTTTTACGTAACAAAAATAAAATTGATTGATGTCAGTCATTTAAAAAATTAACTCTATTTACAAAATTTTGATCATCATTAACGAAATGTATACTTCTGTTTGGCACTGGACATAACCGTTTTCTAGACAATGGTATTCAATTTTAATCTCATTTTAAAAGCGTACAAATTCAAATTTTCAATTTATTTTTATCTATAATAGCCAAAAGATTTCTTCTCAGCGTATTTAACGTAGGAAATGCCATAAATTACCAGTAATTTTATGATTTGCTACAGTCATCGATGATGGTAAATAATGGAAAAAGCTCTCAAATTTACAATTCAGTGTGTCGTTCTAATATTCTGGTTTCGATATCTGCGTGCATCTTCTCAACCTTCCTGGAGTGCTTCTTGATGGTCTGTTCCTGGTCTTCGAAGTGGTTCATCTTTTCACCAGCTCCGGCCACCTGTATTACAAAAATAATTTATATGTAAATGTTTAGAACTCTTTATTTTCACAAAAAGAAATCAACTATCACATAATTTCGAGGGACATGGAAGACAGCAGGTCTATTAAATTAGTGATCCCCGTCGCTCGTGGACAGTGTCAATGTCAATGAAAGATCCAGGGTGTATTATTGTTAACGTCATTAAACAAAGAAACCTAATAGCCAAAGTTTTAAGCATCTTCCTATTTACACCAAATCGTTAAGACAAAGATGTAATTAGAGCATTGGACAGAATCCTTTTGAATAGAATTCTCTTATAAAAATATGTTTCAATTTTTTCTATAATATTAATACGAAAGAAAAGGAAAAACAAAAGTGTTCGCGTTTTGATGTCCATGGCCTCAAGTTACACAAAAGCTCGAACTGTGAGCTAGTCTGCAGCATACTTTGCACAAAAGTGCAGCAATAAAATATGATTATTACCAAAGTCACAGTAATGACTGGAAACGCGTAATGAACAACACAGCATCTTTCTCCCATAGAACACGTAAACACATGTATCTAGACAATCACATATAATTAATTCAATGTAAAACTTTTTAAAATTGTAATTAATTATATTATAATGTCAGAGCAAATGGCGCGACATGTTTAAACGCATTGACAACACTCTCGTGACCTTCGATAGACTAGAAAAAGTTACAAACTAAAAATCAAATTCTGCTTAAATATGGTTCGAAAATACCAATGGTTTTCTGTAAGTCCGGTACGTACAACGTACAGCGTAGTGTTACGTGGTAAAGTCACTGGCCAAAGTAAGTTTGCAAAAGAATACGAGAGAATAGAAAAAAAAATAGAACAAAAATAAAAACCTTAGTATTGTACTTCTCGCTATTGCTTACATGGTCAGCTTGTAGGTGACGCAGCTTCAGCAGTCTCGACTCGTAGTGCTGGAGTTCGACCTGATCACCAAGTGTATATTCAAAGAATTGTGGTAGGACCTTTTGTGAATCCGCACGGGTAGGTACCACCACCCTGCCTATTTCTGCCGTGAAGCAGTAATGCGTTTCGGTTTGAAGGGTGGGGCAGCCGTTGTAACTATACTGAGACCTTAGAACTCCTATCTCAAGGTGGGTGGCGACATTTACGTTGTAGATGACTATGGGCTCCAGTAACCACTTAACACCAGGTGGGCTGAGAGCTCGTCCACCCATCGAAGCAATAAATAAATAAAAAAGATAGAAATAGTATATTAAAAAAAAAAGATAATCTAGACATTTTTAACCAGTAGGTACTAATATAAAAACTAACGAAGTCAAGGTTTGAAATCGTTGTGGCCTAAAGTATAAGACACTGGGTGCTTTCGTATCGAGCGATTCGACTGTCCAATGGTCGTATGCCGCAGGCAAGTACCAATAATTTGCATAATTACTGGTCGACGTCTTGTGAGTCCGCGCGGGTAGGTACCACCACCCTGCTTATTTCTGCCGTGAAACAGTAAAGCCTTTCGGTTTGAAGAGTCGGGCAGCCGTTATACTGTAAAAACTACATAACACTTCGAACTGATGTGTGAACTCTCAAAGTGGGTGGCGGAATTGACGTGATTGATATCTATGAGACCTGATGACCTCTTAACAAGTTGGGTCAATAGTCCGATATCTCGTCCACCAAATATATGAATAAAAATTTTTTGGACGTTTTACGCATTGCACCAACTAACATCGTAACAGAGTTCACAATACCCCTAGGTATCGCTCGGGCAGGTTTTGAAAAGGTACCCCTAGATGAAAACAACCGGGGACTTACCTTTAGTGACGCTAGCTCATCCACGGTAAAGTTTGCGGCAGCTGCCATTCGCCACAGACCTTGCACTTTGGGTTCTATAAATTCTTTGTTGTATGGACCTTTGAACAATAATCGAGAAATTATGTAGAACCTTTTAATCCTATGAGTGTAATGGAGCCGATGTCGAAAAGACAGTACTTTCCTATAGTAACTTTAATAAAAAAACATTAACTTTGTAAATTATTCATTCATTCAAAAATTTATCGAATTCGATATATTCGTGAAGACGCCATTGAGCAAACACAAAACTCAAAGACAACGACATGAGTGGAGTAACATCTAGTGGGCCCGCTCGCGATCTGGCAAGAACTTCGACGCCGTGTAAAGACAATTTTGTACAATATATTACTTTATTTAATTTCAAAAATCCACCACGCTCATATACAACGTGTTACAAAACACCCCGTAAAAAATATAATTAACTATCAAAGCCAAAATTTTTGTCATCCCTAGTAAACTGTCATGTCAGGGAACCAGATTATTTAACAGAAAGGCCTACTTAACTATTTTACCTACTAATTGTCTATTTTATTGTTTTTCTTTTTTTCATTCATAAATGTTTGGTACCTCAGTAGGTACAAAAATGCCATTAAACTCAAGTACTGGCTTCAAAAAGGTCAAATTTGAAAAAAACAATTTTGTATTTTTCAAATCTTCGAAATGAATATCCCACAACTGTTCCTAGTAGAAATGTAGGTACATTCTGCGTAGTTTACGCTTTGATTTTATTGAAATAGGGTTTGAACATCAGTGAATATAATATTACTTTTATTTTTTTTTGGGGTATGTTATACAGCGTTACTACTTAAATATTGTGAATGGACTCGTTATAAGGCCCTATTTAACCTCCTTTCGGCTTTACGGGTAGTTTTGTAACACCCTGTATAAGCATTCGCGATTCATAAGCACTATGAAAAGATAAAATTGAAACTTTTGAACGCAATGAAAGTATTTTTAGATTGGATTTAAATGACTTGATTATTTCGTATAATTTCTTCTCATACAAGCCACTAAATTTTGACGCCTTTGATATTCCTCGTTCGATGAAGAATTATCAATTCATAGCGCTGAAGAAATATGTTGAAATACTATAGCATTCCAAAGTACCTTTAGCAGTAATCCTCTGTAGTTTGTCATATCCTTCTCTCAAATCTCTGTGCTTTTCTCTAACCATATTAGCCTGATGAAGATAATCCTTTGTTATTTCATTGTTCTGCTCGGAAATTTCATTGAACTTGTCTATTTCATCATCATTTACAACATCTGGAATAAGATTACACACATTCTTAATTGTCATGGTGCAGTAGTAGTAAATGATAAACAAAAGCCGTTTTTTTTTCCTACCTAAGCTGATAGCTGAGACTTGAGAGGCTATTTCAGCGTAACCTTAACTAGTAGGAGAGTTCACGGGGCTCAAACCTGACGACGTTGCTGACATGAACCCTAGCAAGAGCCGTGCTTCGCAGAATCTACCACTGGATCGGAAACGCGACCCATTGAGAAGATCCGGCCAGAAACTCAGTGGGCTGTGTCTGTGGGTTAATTTACTCGTCGAGCCCTTTGTCGCAAGCGATGGTTTCGAGGAGAACGATGACCGGTGCTTGAGTTACCTAAAAGCACCGTTAGTGGATCGGGAAGATCGGGAGAATCCGAAATGAAGTGTTTTGGGCGACGTCGACTGCTTTCCATTCTGTCCGCAGGATCGGGAATGAGGCCGTTTATAAATACATTTAACATTAATGTTATCGATGATTGATGAAGAGTATTGTGTTATTGTAAAAGACATTAATCTAGATCAGTGATTCTGAACCTTTTTTTTGTTGCGGCACATATTTAACGATTTCAAAATTTGGCGGCACACAAAGAAAAAGATAAAAAATATTTATTTACTACCGAATCACATACATTTGCCAAATTTAAAGAAAGAAAAGGTGCAGTAACTACTATGCAACACCTTGTGAATCCCAACTATCACTAAAACAACACGTTTTGTACGCAGAAGTGGCAAGTGTGCGCCGACTTGAGACATATTCCTATTGCTATGCACGCCGCTTCATCATAATTTGGCACTAAGAAAAAGTTGCAAAGCAAATAATAAAATAATTTATTTTTTTGTGGACTTAAATATATATTCATGTTAAAAATATTTTTCTTTGTAAATGATATAATTTAATAATATTAACATTATTATATATTTGCAAAATTTGGCGGCACACTTTTGAAATTTGGCAGCACACAAAAGTGCCGCGGCACAGTGGTTGAGAATCACTGATCTAGATATTCACAATAGAGTTCCGTACATTGTAACTTTTGTAATCATAAAGCAGTAAATAATCAGATATTAAGATCTGGATGTAACAGTGGCCGTCATGATAAACCTGCTATGTTACCAATCGAACTAAAATTGTCAGGCTGAGTCAGATACTCTGGTGTAACCCTAAAGTCCTGGAAAATCTAAATAAAAGAAAACCCTGACATACATAATAGTACATTGTGCACCAAGGGAGAAAAGTAGGACATTTCTTCCCGCATGTAAAATTGACAAAATTGCCGTGGCAAACACGCGGGATGAGATGTTCTACTTTTTTCCTAGTCATTATTTGCTTGTTGGTGGTACTGGAGTGTAGTATAGAAATTAAGCTAAGAGATAATTAAGAAAATGCTACAAACTCTTGTATCCATCCTTTTTTCCATTATCCAACTCTCCAAGTAATTCATAATATTGATCAATTTTCTCCTGATGATGTAAAAATTCTTCTTTGAGAGCTGATAACTCTTCAGCAGTAAAACCTGAAAACTCAGCCTTAGACCACAGCATGTTCAATTTTTTATCCTTGAAAATACTCCTATTTATGTGATCATCCATTGCAGAATTAAATGCCTGAGGATTCAAAATATAACACAATTTAAAAAAATAGTAATCTAGAGGTAATATTGTACATGGAACGACATGGTAAGGAAATAGTTTGCTATTTTACTCTGGGAATACATAACATTAATGACGACAATACAAAGAAGTTAAATTAATCACCCTATGGCTGGAAGATCCGTAAAATGAATATAACAGTTCATTTTTAAAATGGTCAATATGTTGTTTTTTTAAGGAGGCTGAACTTAGAGACCATTTGGTATTATTACTGGAGTCTATGGACATCACAACTGAATGCCACCTACCTTAAAACATGGGATTCATAATCTTAACAAAGGTTGATTGACTTATAATATTTCTCGTATGTAGTGAAATTAGTAACTAGAAAAAACTAATTGTGCAGGCTTACAGTTCTACATCCAATTATACAAAATCAAAGATATTTGTTTTCAAGTTATACCTAAATAATATTCTTGGGTCTTAGATCTGTTTAGATAGGTAACAATGCTATTAATAAATAATTAAAAATAAAGTTCCAACTGAAACCAAGGTATTAAGTTATACTAACTGGGTGATCTTTTTGTCTATCTGCCTTAGGATCAAAATGCTCCAATAGACCATAGACAGACATGATGTTACTGAGTTTTCTTCTCAGTTCTGCTTCTTTTAAGCCTTCTTTGTCACCCCCATCACTTTTAAACCGTTTGTATGTAATTTCTTCTTTATCATGCAGCATCAGATCACTGTAGAGTGACTTCAATTTCGGTTCTGTAAGGCGCTGGAAATATTTTTCTATCATTAGTAATAATATAAATGAAATGAGAGGATGAAGGGTTTAGGTACCATTTTTTTTTTAAGATTTTTGGGTTTTTACATTGAATGAAGGTGTTATGTGCTTATATACCATATTAGATCTTAAAACTTAGAGTTTAAAGACTATTTTTAGAAATCGCATGTAATAAAGGAGTTATGTACGAAGAAAAAGTACAAGTAACGAAAGTTTGTTGCCTGTTTTCTCAAAATTAACAAATTGTATCATATCCGCTTCATTAACTCATGTCCTCAAATGATCTTTACATATTCAGAATAGTAATAAAGGCCTTAAACTAAAAATAGTGGATTTATATCAATTTTCTAGTTTGTTAGTAAGGATTGTCATAATCAAAGGATGAACTAAATAGATTTAAAAAAGAAGTAACCTAGAACAGATCGCACACAACTATCTAGCTTCAAACTTATTCCTAGTGGTATAGGAACCAGAGACTGATGACCATTCTTATAAATGCTTAAATAAATTTATAGATATTAAACACCCATTTAATGCGTAAACCTTTATTATTATACTACTAGCGACCCGCCCTCGCTTCGCTTCGGAAACATTAAAACACACATGAAACTAAAAAAAAAAATCAAAAAAAAATTAAAAAAAGTAGCCTATGTTCATCAGGGACAATGTCGGCTTCTAATGGAAAAATAATTTTTCAAATCGGTCCAGTAGTTTCGGAGCCTATTCGAAACAAACAAACAAACAAATCTTTCCTCTTTATAATATTAGTATAGATATGGACAAAGACAAAAGAGGTCAGTGACCTTTCACTCCTTTGTTTCTGAATCTGTTTTCTTTTTCTGTTTACTAGCTTTTGCAAGCTTTAGTGTATTGAAGAAAAATTTGAAAAAAAATTCTATTACAATAAAAAATGTGTACTAACAGATTGAGCACTGCTATTAGAATATTTAAAACAATGCTATTCAATCATTGTAATTTAATAATATTTATAAACCAGTAGGTATAAAAAACCAAGTACATGGGTAACACAGACATTTAACTTTACCGTTGGGTTTCCTTACCTGTTGAGCTTTAGTCCATAAAAGATTTAATTTGTTCATCCTGAAAGGTTTTTCAAGAGTTCTAAAATCTACTTTTGCATCATCATTCTTCTCATTTGCCGAACGTGTATATTTATTTTCGCAAACAATGCCAGACATCAGTAGTGATATAAATACAAAAATCATTAAATGGGTGTTCATTGTGAAAACTTTATGAAGGTACTTAATACCTAAATAAACTTTGCTATTAATCAATTTCATAAATGTATCGTGATTATTTTCTTCTTTCTATGAAAACTTAGATTAAAATCATAGATTTTTTTTGGTACAATTTTTCCTTATTAGGAAATGCAAAGGGATCTAAGCCCACACAGCCATACACTTATGATTAAAATAAAACATAGAGATCATAGAATATACACCTAATATATAGAAATTCAGAATACTGCATAGATTTTTTTAAGGAATTTTATAACCTGGTAAACTTTAGGTAAAGTCTTATTTTAATCTTAATGAAAACCTTTTTGTATGTGAAAAATGATATTATAAAATGAAATGAGATGAGATGATATCAAAGGCGGATCCAGGGGGGTGGTCATGAGGGTCATGACCCCCCTGAGTTGCTTCCAAGACATAGGTGAATCACTAATTGAACATAATGATTTTATTTATATATTTTGTCACCACACAGATTTTATGTAACTACATACCTTCAATATTTAATTAATTTAATATAGTATAATAACTTTGTATGATGGCGGAATGAACGCATCGAAAATTTGACTATGTGACCCCCTCCTGGCGCCAAAGCTGGATCCGCCCTTGGATGATATGGGATGAAATATAACATCAGTAAAATTTTACTGGTGGTAGGACCTCTTGTGAGTCCGCGCGGGTGGGTACCACCACCCCACCTATTTCTGCCGTGAAGCAGTAATGCGTTTCGGTTTGAAGGGTGGGGCAGCCGCTGTAACTAAGCTTGAGACCTTAGAACTTATATCTCAAGGTGGGTGGCGCATTTACTTTGTGGATGTCTATGGGCTCCAGTAAGCACTTAACATCAGGTGGGCTGTGAGCTCGTCCACCCATCTAAGCAATAAAAACAAAAAAAAAAGATGGTTGTCATTGCCTGAGACTTTTTCAGTGGACTTTTTGGAGGATGTAACTATACCAAGACCTTAGTACTTATATCTGAAGGTGGGTGGCGCATTTACGTTGTAGATGTATATGGGCTCCAGTAACCACTTAACATCAGGTGGGCTGTGAGCTCGTCCACCCTCCTATATAATAAAAAAAAGGTGCGTGTACTTTTGTACGCGCGTAAGAAGTTATACTTTATTTTTATTAAATTTTTTTTTTATTTGAATTTTAATCAATTTGAAAAAAATCGATTAAATAACATCCTCAAACACGCATATTGGACATCCCTTTTATTGACATCGTATAAATTCGGTAATTCTCGGTACGGTTCGGAAAGTTCACCTGCGGCTATATTCAGACTCGCCAAGTTACGTCGGTCGTATTGTAATGAGCGATTTAGTGGGCAAATTCATTCTGTTAATTTTGTGTCACGGTGCGCGCGCATCGTAAAATTTCACTCTCATAAATTTTTCATAACGCTTCTAAAGAAGTATAACTTCAATAAATACAAAGATAACTTCAATTACGATCAGACGAAGACCTGAGTTTGGACCTGTTCATAATGTACTAAAGTAGATCGAAATTATATAAACTAATTATATGTTGAATGGATAAAATGAAGTTAAAATCCGTATTAATATTGAATTCAAATCTATTAAATTTAATAAAATAAAATAAATGTAAGTACCAAAGTACTATTTAACAAACTTATTTCAAATTTGACAAATGTTTTTCCTTAAGAATTCTACAGAATTGAATGTGTGGGAGAGTGTAGCGTACCTACTACCACGTCCAATATTCATTGCCTAGTCCTATAGCTTCTGGCAGAAAAACAGAGAGCCCACCCGTCAAATGTTCACTGTCAATCGTGAACATTTGACGAGGTCGTAATGCAAATTGCCAGCTGACTGACAAAACCGGCTCATGCGCAATGTAGGTGTGAGGTGATGGTTTGCTTATTAGATATAAAATAATTAATAATTGGGAATTTAATTGTTATTATGATCAAACAATCACCAATAGTCGTCGAACAAACGATAATTGATCAAAATTAATTAATCTGAGCGATAAAAATAAAGATAACTAGTAAAAGGGGTCAACTTAAGGGTGATCATTTGTTTAATTAATTATAAATAAATAAAAGACGAACAAATCATTTTTACATTCGGACATTAACGAACAAATGATGGACAAATAATTAAAAATTAAAAAAAAAACGAAAATAAAAAAGGGGGTCAAAGTCAGTAAGCCGTAGACATCTAATGTTTTATTTTTAATTACTCCGTGGAGAATTTGACATTGTCATACTGTGACATTCACAGAGTATCTCACTAGATACTGATGACACATTTTATGTAGCTACTTAATCTGTGCACCCCAGTAAAGTCCTAAAGTTAGAGACTTTTGGCGGGAACTCCAAAAAGAGCGCGCGTACAATTTAAAAAAATTTTCATTTTTATTTCAATTTTGTTATTTTTTCATAAAAATACTGTGTAAATAGTTGAATTTATTAGTGGTGACCCTTAGAAATGGAGGGTAACGAGGGGGGCGGGGATAACCCGCCCACCTCAAATAAACGTCCTCGCGTTGAGGATCGTGGTGGTGACCCCAAGGTGGACTTTGGCGTTGGCGGAGGCGGTGAGCGTNCTAGTGAACTTAGTGATACCAATGCATTTAAGTGTGTCTCTTCCTCCCGCCCGCCGCCACTTAACTTTTTACTAAAAGATCCAACATTCTATAAACCAATTTATAATTACATAAAAAATACAATTCAAACAATATAAATGACAAAATTTAGTGAAGTGAAGTGTAGTGACCCCAAACTTATAAACATTTTCCAAATAAGATATGACCTAAAGGTCTCTGTAACCAGGTCATAAAATTAAAAAAAAAAAAAAAAAAAAACCTAAAGTTAGACGAAAGTTCAAACTGTAAGTTATTGGTAGTCTGTGACGTGTATAATCTATGGTCTGTGAGTTGCTGTAGAGTGAAGTAGGTACCTACCTACCTAAGTGTTAGGGCTCATGTCAGACAAACCCGGTTTTACTTGTTAAAATTTTGTTCACAATGTCTATTTTGATCAAACAGTGCTGGATTTTTTATTTTAAAAGTATCGTCATTAGTCGTTGAAACCGTGGCAATAATCTTATTTAGTCCTATGTGTTCGTGCATAATGGGAGTTGACTGATTCCTCCCCACCGGAGAGTGCATCAAAATTCACATCACGGACGCTGCACAAACTAGCTTCTCAGTATCTGAACTTTCTCTAGTTCATGCTTTGTGGGACTGTTACTCAACACGTTGTTGTGCAAAGATAATTTTGCAAGCTGATGATCACAAACGACCAGACGAGACGACCTAGACGCTGCTGTCGTTAGTGTGTGAATAGTGCGAGTCGAGGACAGTAGTGCGTCGATTGGATGCGTCTTCGTGTGTAATGTGTATTGTTTTATTGTGATGGTTGAACGCGAAGGATCTCGTCGCGGAAGCGGCAGTGGCGGTGGCGGAGGCTGCGGCTGGGGCAGCGGCGTGCTCCGACGGCTGTCGTTGCGAACCTTATTGCTCGATAGCCCCCTCGTGGGAAGAAGGCTCGCACATTCCGGTATGATTATTTATTAAAAATATTTTCACATCGTCATTTTATGTATTGGCATTTGTACTGTGCATTGAACACAATAACAAAACTTTGGTTAAGGTAGATGTATAAAATAACAAAAACGAATTAGAATCCCAATGAACTAAATACTGTATAGCTCCTTTGTAGTCTAAATACTAAACCTACATTATTTTAGAAGTAATGCTATTTTCGGTTAGTAACTAAGAACTTACATTTTTGCTCAACTTATTGAATTCATAAGGCAGCCTTGACTATTTTTCTATTAAAAAAAAAGTGTTTTTGCACCAACCAGTTACATATTTCTGGTATTCCCATTTTTCAGATCTCGCATCTGATGAAAACAAATGTTAAAATTTGTAGAATATTCAACAAAAATAAAAAGTTTTAATGGCAACCAATCAATGCATAATGCAATTAATTTAAATACATATTGCATTGTTATTTTTATTACTAGTAAATAATGTAAGAAAAAATTGAAAGTGTCTAGAGGTTTTTTGATTTTGCATTCCATAATAACAAGTAAAACATACAAAAACATACAATGTGCTGCCCTGTGAAACAGGCCAGTTTTTTCACTATATAGGTTGTGACTGTACATCATTCTTCTTACACTTGATTGCTATTCTTGCTATTTTATTCTTTTGCATATAAAAAGTATTCTTTATTTATAAAGTTCAAGTTGGCCTTATTAAAGAATGTTTTTTTAGTGCCACTGTACAATAAAGAAATCTTGTGCCACTATAATAAAAAAGATAGTAAAACCTAATCAAGTGATAAAAAAAAGAAATATTAGCCTTATTGTTTCTTAGTAAGTAATAAGCGTAATTATTATCTTATCATGTTTATCTAAGTGATACATCAATTATGTAGGTTTCTAGTTAATTATTAATAATTTAACTGAAACCCTGTATACTGTAAAGATGTTGCATGAAACAGAAAGTCATAGTCAAGTCATGATTGTTCAAATTTGTATGTATATTTTTATAAAAATATATATTTAAGTTATTTGTGTATGTATTATATGTGTATGTGTGTTTGTATGTATATATATTTCAATCGATAGGTATACCATTTCCAAGTGATTCTTCTCCACCTGATGGTTGTCTGGAAGAGATTGCTCTTAGTGATAAGACCACCAATTGTACTTTTTTTTTGTATGTAATGTTTCATGTTCTTTATTTTTTTGATGTACAATAAAGAATACTCTCTCTTTCTCTCAAAGTCCTATAATAGAATTATAAAAATAATATTTATAATATAATTATAAATATAAAAATCTGAATTTTTGTTGCTTATGAATTAAGTTCGCTTTTAATTAGTATTGAGTGGTGAGGCAATATCAGTTATTGCTCCATGGCCTAAAGATAAGTAATTAACATAATTTGGGAGACTTTAATGGCCTTCTATGCTAAGTAATTTTTCTTCAAAGTTGTTGGCACATAAAAATGCTATCTTCTTTCTTTCTGGTCGTTCCCTCAATGCTGAGGATCGTGACTGTATGTCAATCTTCTCCACTCGGTCCAGTTCTGCGCCATATGTACCGCTCCCCATATCTGGCCTCCAGTCACCTCCTTGAGTTGGTCAACCCATCTAGCTGGCGCTCTTCCTCTAGCGCGCTTCCCCTGCATCTGTCCGAGAATTGTGAGTTTCTCCAGGCTGTGCAATGAGGATCGCATTATGTGCCCAAAGTTTTAAGAATGCTATAGCTTCTTAAAACTTTCTTCTCTGTTATAGTCATATGTTAATAAACCATGTGAACCTCTGGCCTTAGTGTGAGTCTTAATGGAAAATACTAATGCTGAATTCATAGCTAAGTTCCACCACACTCTATACATATATATATATACACAATAAACACACTTTATTGTTTATCTAGAAGTCATCGTAATTTACTATTTATCTGCTAAATTAAATTTACAATTGTTAATTACCCAAACTACATAAAGTTATCACTGTACATAAATAGGCACAGTGTATAAAGAATTTGGAATTCAAAATGAACGAAGAAAGATTGTGGTTACTATTAATGGTTTGTAGTTAATAAATTTATTTTCTAAATGCATAGGTGGATGAACGAGCTCATGGCCCATCTTGTGTGAAGTGGTTAGCAGTGCCAACTGAACGAGCTCACAGCCCACCTGGTGTTAAGTGGTTACTGGAGCCCATAGACATCTACAACGCAAAAGCGCCACCCACCTTGAGACATAAGTTCTAAGGTCTCAGTATAGTTACAACGGCTACCCCACCCTTCAAACCGAAACGCATTACTGCTTCACGCCAGAAATGGGCAGGCTGGTGGTATCTACCCGTGCGGACTCACAAGAGGTCCTACCACCAGTAAAATGTGAACGCCACCTACTTTGAACATGAGGTCGAAATCTTGTATCGTATCATGGCAGCCCCACCATCCATCATATATAAAGTAACATTGCTTACATATTTCATATCGATCACCATAGGATATTATTGCAAATACCAGCAAATACCAGATACCAGCAAACGTATACGGAGATATCTAAAAAGATCTCAATAAAACATTGATTGAATGACTGACCAATAATTTTTACGACCGTAACCAATTGAGATGTTGATACTGGAGATTCGGATCTCGCAGGTCAATGCTGCGACTTATTAATTCTCGGTTTTTCAGAGAATGACCTCAACGTTTATTACGAAACTGCGTTAAGTCCGAAAGTGTCATTGTCTTGTTTTTGCGTGAACTTTTCAATATAGGAAGGGTACGTGGATTTCGTCTTAGTAACGGGATCCCTAAAATTTGTTTTGGTAAATTGATATTTAGTTTAATTCAATCATTTTATAATTCGATTTTCAGAAAAGTTTGTTTTTTTCTGATTATTTCGTTTGTTTCAATGAATCGTAAATGTTCTATATGACTACATAGTATAAAACAAAGTCGCTTTCTCTGTCCCTATGTATGCTTAAATCTTAAAAACGACGCAACAGATTTTGATGCGGTTTTTTTTAATAGATAGCGTGATTGACGAGGAAGGTTCATATGTATAATAACATCCATTAAATAGTGGAGAAATCAATAATAAATTACAGTTTCCGAAGCGAAGCGAGGGCGGGTCGTTAGTACATAATAGAAGAGTGCTTAGTGATGTCACCTACAAACGTGATCAGTCGTAGTATTATTTTGCCTTCTTAGTTGTAAGAGCATCTGCCCACTAGAAAGAGAGACACGTACGTGTCTGCATATAATTTTTTTTAAATATAAATTTGGTATAGATGAGTGAACGATCTCACAGTCCCATCTGGTGTTCAGTGGTAACTGGAGCTTACGAATATTACTATCAATGCCGCCATCCGTCTTGAGAAACCTCAATAGAATGTCTCAATGTCCCACTCTTCAAAGAAATTTGCAGCGTGGCGGTGTCTGCCCGTTGACCTCACACGACGCCACTAGTAATTTTGAAAATTATGTTTTTTGCGGGTAGATGTCAAATACTTGTAGAATAAATGTGTACTTGTATATCTCTAAACGAATTGATACCTACCTTGAGATCTTAAAGTTCTAAGGTCTCAAGTATAGTTACAACGGCTGCCCCACCCATCGAACCGAAACACATTACTGCTTCACGGCAGAAATAGGCAGGGTGGTGGTACCTACCCGCGTGCACTCACAAGAGGTCCTACCACCAGTAAATACCTTGCAAAAAACCTTCTCTGCTACGAAACGATAACTCTAAGATAAGTAATAAATAATAAGGCGATTAGGTACGTTGCAATAATCGCGACTGACGCCGAACTCCTTGAGAATTCACCTTGAGGATTTTTTTTCTCTCTATGTATTGGTACTGGCTTCTCTGTCATCATTTTTATAACTGTACCGAGAAGTGTGTAGGTATGTGTTGAGTAATGTAAAAAAATATCGTAAGCGGATATTATTAATTCCTGTATGTGGGTCGAGTGGCTCTTTCTTCGACATTGTTAAGCGAAGAGCATTCGAAATTGTAAAGAAAATATTTGTGTATATTATTAATCCGTTAATTCGTCTACTGTACGTACGCCCACGTGTACTGATTTAAAAACTCTAATGAATGTCTTGTAAATGTAGTTTTTGTTAGATTTGTAATAGAGATATAGACCTACACTTCTTCTCAATCGTGAAACTGCAATCCGAATAGTTGACTGAGTGGTGCAGTAGTTAGCGGTCCTGACTGTTGCGCCGAGGGTCGTGGGTTCGATTCCCGCATCGGGCAAACATACGTGTGATGAACATGTTTGTTTGATCTTTGTCTGGGTGCTTATTATCTATATAATAATATGTTTATATTTAAGCGTATATAAGTATGTATGTCAATCTCTGGTACTTATAACACAGGGAATCCTAATTTGGGGCTGGTTGATCGTGCGTAATTTGTTCCAAGTTGTTTATTTCATAATAGATTGCAAATTTTTTTTGAAGGCCTAATAAATTTTTTTTTACTTCAGAACTTGCACTTTGAGAACAGCTGTCGGTATCTGCAGTCTCTTCTAAGATTTTGATATGTCCTAGTGTCCTGATATATCACAACAATAAATAATGAATAAATGCTCCTCGCAATTTTAATGTTTAAGGATGATCAAAACAAAATTTAGTAAAATTAGTGGTCCCGCAGTAGTCGAAATTCGACTATAATTAATTGAAATTATAAGATTGAACATTATTATGGTTCTATTGTCAAAGACTATTTATTATACTTCTATAATCACAGATTTCGCCAAAACTACACTTCAGACAAATATTAACAAAGACAAACAATATTTAATTTATTCTCAATTTGACCATGAACTTTATGCAATAAGAAAAGTTTGACAATAAGCAAATAGTATGCATGCGTGTGTGTGTCAAATAAATGGTAGTGTGTGTAATGTTTTCTTTATTGATTTAATGTATCTTTTATGCGTTATTTTAAAAAAATATTAGCATTGTGCACTCCTTCTCTATATTCTCTATAAGTGTGGGAAATTTTATACTCCTC